CCTCGCCAGCAGCTCAATCACGGTTTCAAAAGCCTCCGAACATTGGAATTTCAGGGGGACACGAGCCGCGTCACCAGTCCGGTGGTGTCCAAGTTCTTACAATGTGGTATCAAGCTTCTGAAGGTGTTGAACCTACAACGCGCGCCGTTGGAGGACATCCCGGAGGAAGTTTTCAGTTTGTTCCATCTTGAAAATCTCTGTCTTGAACTTACCCGAGTCCGGACTATCCCCAAGTCAATCGGTAAGCTTCGGAACCTTGAGATTTTAGATCTGTATGGTACTCAAGTAGCAGAACTGCCTGAGGAGGTCTTTAAGCTTACAAAACTTTCTACTCTTTATTTATGTGATGAATTCGGTTATCCCTCGCATATCAGTAACCGCGGCTTTAAGTGTCCCCCTGGAATCGAAAACCTTGTTCATCTGGAGTGGTTGTTGGCTATAGAAGCCGATGAAAATGGCCAAATTGTAAGAGAGATTGGGAGGCTAACCCAGTTGCAACGCTTAACCATTACAAACCTGAGAAGGGAAGACGGGAAAGAATTCATTGGTTCCCTGGTGAAGCTGACCAAACTGGATCACTTGGTTGTCTTCCCCGTCGAAAATGAGACTCTTGATCTGCAATATCCCATGTCTCCAATGCCTCAACTTCTCAAATGGGTAACTTTTGGTGGGCATATAGACAGAATACCTCAATGGGTTAAATCTCTTCAGAGCTTAACCAAATTAGTCTTTGTAGAAAGTGGTTTGAAAGAAGACGAAGCAGGAGCAGGAGGATTGGAATTCCTCCAAGATTTACCTAATCTCAAACTATTGCAACTGTATCGTGCTTATGAAGGGGAAAGACTGATTTTCAGGCATGGGGGATTTCAAAAGCTGAAAGAATTGTCCCTGGTGAGATTAAACAGGTTGAAGCTGGTGATGGTTGAAGATGATGAGTCCCTGCCTAGTTTGGAAATTTTGAACATGGTGAAATGCAATCAGGTGATGGAGTTGCCTTGTGGGACTGCAAACTTGAAGAAGCTAAAATCTCTGAGCCTCATGAATATGTCAGATGGATTTGTGAAGAAAATGTTAAATTTGGATCCACAAAGTGAGGAGTATCAACCAATTGCACATGTCCCTGAAGTTCGAATCCAATATTGGAGTAATGGGGAATGGAGTACCTTTTACCTACCCGCGCGGTTCGTGAAAGCATAAAACCTTTTTATCTTGTCCTTTTTTTTACTGTACCAAACAAGAAAGAACATACAGTTTAGGATTATTTGTAATGTTATTTGCTCACATTAATTGTTCCAATTTTTCACTTTCTAATTGTTCGATTCCTGTTAACATTAGCAAAAAGGATACAAAATTGTGATGAAAATTGTATTTATATTGTGAAAAGGAGGTTGAATATTTTTTTTAAAATTTTTTTGTATATTTACAGGTGTCCACCTTCGGCCACGCTAAATCGTAAGCACCTCAATAGGTGGGACATCTGGTCAAAATATTTAAGTTTGTTTCATGTCCATGACAAAATTGAAACCCTCAATCTATGGTTAAAGATGGAGGAGTCCCTTTCACTCCACCATAACCAGTTTGGTTAATGGAGGTTGAATTAACTTAGGTAGATTGATATAGAAGAAGAACGAGAATGGAGGGAGCAGAACATTATATACCGGGCTAATTTTGATGGATCATGTGATTTGCTGCGTTGACGGGCTTCCTAGAGTCCATGAATAGTATTTAACGCAGAGCCCAAATGCTTGATTCATATACGTCGGCTTCTAGTCCAAATCCAGTTCACAACTGGAGATATGTGAAAATGACAAAATTGTCCCTGTGAGATTAGGGTTTTGGAAACATCTATAAAGTTCGGAAAGAGAGCTGTGGCAGACGAAGGTCAATTCCATCTGAAATTCTCGGAGGAAGATTGTTGCTTAGCCCTTGGGAGGAAGAGGAGGAGAAAACCGGCGAAGTTTACCGAGGAAACATGAGGGCCAAGGTCTGGTATCATTTTATTTTTCTATAGAAGTTTATTTTAGTTACTTATTTCCTGTTTCCTTGTTGATCTTTTTCCCCGTATCCAATTTGCTACTTGGTTTTTCAGTGAATCATTTTGTTTAGGCCTTGGAATTCGTGTGGGTTTTTTGTTTTGAACTTGTAATTTGCCCGTGGGTTTCTTGATTGAATGTCTTGGGTGCGAGTTATGTTGCTGAGAACGTTAATTTTTCAAGAGCTATTTTTAGTTTGACCTGCTGTACAATGTAGAAATTGATTGAGAGAAAAGGCGTTCATGGGAAAGGAACTTATAATATGATAGATTAGGCTTCATTTGATGGTGGAGATGAGTTGGTCCTGGAATTTGGAAGGTTTTCAACTTTTCATGGTTTAGGGTTTAACTCCCCAATGTATTCTATCTGTTCGATGAAATACCCTCCCACTGGGGGGATTTTAATGGTGATGTGAATCATACTGTGAATGCTGGTGATGACCAGTTTTTGTGTCGTGTTTGTCTTATGGCAAGGAATTTGGCTTAGAACTTGTTTTGATGCTTTTGAAGTAAATTATGAATGCCGGTGACAACCTGGTTGTCTTGATGTCAAATTGATCTTTCAAAATGAGCCTGCTTCTCATGGGTTAAAATTATTTTTGTGTTATATTTGCTTTATTAAGGCTATGCCTTTCATATTAAAATGTCTCCTTTTGGGATATGTTGTGTGTTCCAGTCTTATCATAGATTGCCCTCCAGTTTATGTGTATAGAACTTGTTTTGTGATGGAACTCTTGCTGTGGTACATTTATGCATCTAAAAGTTTGTGCTGCGCTGCTCTACTCTCTCATTCATTGGGAGTTCATTGCTCTGATTTTAAACCCTTTGAAGCAGCTCCTGTTTAATAGTTTCAATTTTATACTTGATTACTTATCTGCTTGTTTGTGATGGTAATTAAAATTGCAGTGGAAGAAGAAGCGTATGAGGAGGCTGAAGAGAAAGCGCCGAAAGATGAGACAAAGATCCAAGTAGAAATCAGTTGATATGAAGGCAGTTTTTACATTTAGACTAGGCCTTGTCAAAGATCCAAGTAGAAATCAGTTGATATGAAGCGGTTTTTACTTTTTACATTTAGACTAGGCCTTGTCAACAGGGTTTGATTACATTCAAGTTTCCTTGTAGAGGCTGTCCGTTGAACACAATGTTTCTGCTTTTGGTTTTTGTGAGACCTTATCAGAAAAGTTTTTTTTGTGAGTTAGCGTTATCTTTCAACGTCGAGCACTTATGTTAGACTATCGTTGGATTGTTATGTCAGCTGGATAACTTGCTTTGAACATATAATTTCTATTCAAATTTGCCCCATACCTCTGTTCCGTTTACTTATATTTGCACACTTCTGGAGTCCACATTGCCATGGGAAAATAACAGGTTACCATAAATTTCATGTTACACTGTAAGCATTATTTGTGTATTAATTGTCCTTTATCGAAAGAGGAATACAAATCAAAGCTGCAAATCTTTAACTGGCTCTAAAGAAGATGAAGGTTGAACCAACCATTTCAATAATCTGAACTGTCCAAAAAATTAGCGCTAAAGCCAAATCCTAGCAAATACGGGCTCATTCGCCATGAATGCCTTTAAGCCGCCACCATTGTCCTGCTGAAGGAAGCAAACAGAGCTAACGTTTCTCCATCATCATCACATGAATTCGCGAGAGAGAACTCTGTTCTTGGATATTGATTTGGACTCAAGAAATTGGAGGGATAGATCTGTTTCAGATATGGTGGCGATCACCAAAGTGGCAGCTTCAAACTGGTTCCAAGTCAAAAATTCGCCTGTGATTGTAACATTCATATCGTATATGTCATATTGCATAACAATTCATTCAAGGATATTCCGGCTGACGACTTGTCTCTGATGCAACTGCCTCAAAACTTCCCCGGCAATTTCCTTTTCCTCTGCACAAATGATCGCTTCGATTATTATGGTATAGTATGATTACTGATCCATGTTCATGATCTCGTCGTTTGCAGTGGAAGTAGAAGCGCATGAGGAGGCTGAAGAGGAAACGCTGAAAGATGAGTTTGGGTGAATTTGTTTCCTTGTCTGTTGTTAAAAATGTTTGTCAAGATTACGATTCAAGCATTGGTGCCGGGCGAAGACTTAGGTTAGGTGGAAGAACATGTTTCTCGAAACACGGGTTCAATTGGTAATGGCAAGCGAATTTCTCAGCTTTCACATTTCTATGTTGATGATAGATTGCTTCCATCACCGCAAGGGCAATCAAGAATAATCTGCTTTTTAAGCAAAGAAGCTGGTCAAGCTCAAACTAATGCAAAATTTGCACTCACTAACCATGGTAAAAACAAAGAAAACCTCATTTTCTCTTCTACTAAACTAGCAGCAATCGATTCATTTCACATTATACAGTCAAACAAACTGCATCACTTTCACATTTGACTGTCTTGTGGTTGTACATTTGTAATGCCATTATTAGCTGCATGGCTTATCCTCCATCTGATATAAAGAATCCTGAAGATCCATTGCTTGTTCACGATCGGCTACCGAAGCAGATTCCTGTCAGATCGTTTATAATTTTTGGAAGAAAATATAAGTTGGATACATATTACAAATGTAGAATAAGTCATTGATGAAGCATATTTACTTCTTTGGAACACAAGAGTGCATCTAAACAATTGTATAAACACTAAGGATTCAAGTATCAGAGATTCTAGAAATAATTTCATTGTGAAGATAAAAGAATCTGTGATGAGGACTAGTTACCTTCTAGTTGCGCCCCAGGATAACTGTAGGAACATGCTTGAGTTTATAATAGTCTTCCCCTTCATGTCCCGGACTCTGTCATAGAATTCTGCAGGCATTTGAAAAAATGACAAATCTACAAGGCTCGTGACAAACTGCAGTCCATCCGGAACCATCTCAAACTTTGGACATCCCCAAATGCCCAAATAGGCCAATTTAGGCATGGCACCTTGGTCAACCTGCCAACGTTCGAGATTAGCTAATGTTACAATGAGAAGATTCCTGAGCTCCAAAATCCCCCAGCATGGCAAGCCATATCTTTTCCCAGGTATGCATCAGATTCTAGCAAGAGGTGTTGCAAATGAGGAAGCATCTCAAGTGTTCTCATTGGGTCTTCCTCCATTTTGTTATTCTCCAAGCGTAGATTAACAAGGTTCTGCAGCATTTGAGGTTCATATTCTGGAAATTTGTTCATCTCCACTCCAATTCTCAATTGATGAAGGTTACCACACATTAGACTCTTTCTAAAAAGAACAGCACCTTCATCTGAACCAACAAGATCAGAAACATAAATTAGAAGTACTACCTCCTTTAACTCCTGCCCTTTCTCATTAAGATGATAAATGACAACTTTCAGGCTATCTTTATCATAAATTCTGGCACGAAGAATCCATAACTTTGATAGCTGGGAAAGATTAGACACTCCATCTGTTGCACTGTTCAGTCCAACGAATGTCTCCAGCTCAGTCAATCCATGGAACCGCAACTTTCCATTTTCAGTGTACCTTTTTGCCGTGCCATACAGATACAAATGCCTTAGCTGTTTCATCTTGGAAAGTACACTAGGTACTTTAATATCATCACTTACTCGAATTTCAGTGTATGCAGGAATGTTAACTCAGCTATAGAAGATGGCAATTGACATAAAATGCAATCAACTATGCTTAAGTACCTAAGGTGGATCAACTTTCGAATGTCCAGGGGCAATTTATTTTTCTGGAAATCAAAACCTTTAAACTGTAAAACTCTTAGTGATTTGGTATCCTTCAAATTTTATACACTAGTCTGCTGGCAACATAATTGGAAAGGGATGATTTCAACAATGGCTGTCTATCATGTTGAAAATCCACAACTTGAAAAAACTCTTCTTCCATCCCTTTCTCAATACATAAGTCGCGCATCATGTCGTGAAGTTTACACTTGTTATTTCTCCTACCTACTTCAGCTGAGTACAATGTCACTTGAACCATAGACCTACGACCCAATTCATCCAAATATCACTCTGTTACCTCAACTAAGGTGAGCAAATATCTGTGTTTCGTCACTTTTGCCAGTCTGTTAAAGAATTCTTGTCTTTCAAAATCCCTCCAAGCACAGATACTGCTAATGGTAGACCCCCGCATTTGCATACCATTTCTCTTGCCAACATCTTCTAGTTTTGGGTCTTCTCCGGCAGAATGTCTCTGATTCGGGCATGTTGTGTGACACAAGTCCAAGCGAATTGGCGAAAACATATATGCTTTAACATCCTCATGCTTGTGTCTGGCGAGTGTTGTTTTGCCGAGTCCGCCCATCCCCCATATTGAAATCACACGGTGACACTGGTTATGGTTATCGACAACGAGTGACACCAATTTCTTCACATCTTCCTCCATTCCAACAAAGTGTTGGTCAGTCTGATGGTTGTAAGTTTGTCTTCCCCACCATTGGTTTTCAGCAGTTATAGAGCTCCCCCTTTCTCCGAAAACGATCTCTTCAACTTCATCCGTCACTCCTGACAAAAGTATGGCTTTTTCTGTTACTAAAACACGAAGTGTTTGGGCGGCAACTGCAATCACGGCTTCAGCCATGTTTTTGGGTTTTCTGTAGCGTTTCTAACGCAATCAATTAGAGAGAGGATGCTCAAAAAAACGTTATGGTCACTGAGTTGAAGAACAGATCAAGAAGGTCCTTCATATAATAAGCTCCCCGGAGTGGCCTAAAGTTAAATGATTTCTCTGTCCATGAATTGTCAATACCACAAGACGGTGATTTGTTCTCATCGGGCTATAGCAAGGAAATTGATGCAAGTTGCTGTGGAATCAATCGTGTTCGTGGAAGCATTGTTGCAAGTTGCTACTTGTGCCCAAAAAATAAATAAATAAATAAATAAGAACGGCTCGTGCTACCTGTATAACTTTCAAATATATAATTTTAGTTAAGCTCGTATCGTGTGTTTTTCTTTTTGAATTGGTTCACATTTTCATTCTATCTTCATATTTTGTACAGAGTAGAGTCCTTGGTTTTACAAGGGGAATACAAATTAATCTGCAGAAATAACTCGCTAGCTATAAAGTAGGCAAAGCTCTAATAAACCATTTCAATATTCTGCACTCACTGTCCAAAGTAGAGCTCATATTTCCTCTATCTTTACACTGAACACGGCAATCAAATCGTTGTAACTGTAATGCCAAATCCATCTTCACTTTTCTCTATGGATTCCTGCTTTCTCATAAGAAAAATAAATGAATCCGCGTAATTGGAACAAAACTTATTTGATCTGGCCTTAAATGATTATAAGGTCAAAACTCAACCTTAATCCTGGCAAACATGCCATGTTCAGTGTTCACCATAAAAAGCCTTCATGCCCACTGTAGTTCTTTTGAAGGAAGTAGACAGAACTCAAATGTAGCTATCCCATGAACTGGTGAGACAGATCACATTGTTCTTCATCACTGCAAAACTGTCAGCTTCAAATAGTTTTCAATAAAATACATAATCCTATATGTCATATTGCATAACAATTCGCTCAACGGAATTCCTGCTAACGACTTGTCTCTGACTTAATTCCCTCAAAACTTCCCCAGCAATTTCCTTTTCTTCCGCGCGAATAATCCCTTCAATTATTATGGTATAAGTTATCTCATTAGGCATATAACCTTTCTCAATCATCATTTCAAGAACTTCCACCGCTAAGTCTACACGGTGAGATTTGCATAACCCAAGTACAAGAGCGTTGCAGTTATCTATATCAGGCCTGTAACCACTTGCTTGCAAGATTTTGAAAATATCTAACGCGGTTTCAAGCATCCCCTCCAAGCACAATCCCCTTATCAAAGATGAGTAGGTATAGGAGTCTGGAGTGAACCCACTAGAAGTCATCTCATACAGGAGCTGAAATGCTGCATATGTGTTTCCTTTCTTACAGAGGCTCGCAGTCAGAGTGTTGCAGAAATCATGCATGGAAGAAATGTTTGTAGGCCTCAGAGTTTGAAGAACTGAAAATGCCTCTTGCACCAGACCCTCATTGCAAAGCTCAGCAATTGCATTGTATGTGCCCTCATTAGGACTGCAATGATGGTACATCATGTCATCAAGACATCTTCTCGCATCGTTCACCTTCCTGTCTTTGCACAAACGTGCAATGATAGGATTGTAACTCGCTGCAATCGGTTTCAACTGCCCACCTCTATGCATTTCATCCACGATCTTGAGGGCATGATCAGTTTGTCCATGATAGGCAAGGGAGCCGATTAATATATTGTAAGTGACTATGGTCGGCGAGCGATCATCTCCGGTCATCTGAGATAGCAGTTCATTCGCCTCCCCCCAACGCCCTTCATAACACAAAGCTCTCAACAGAATATTACAGCTCACAACATTCGGGTTAAACCCTCTTATCGGCAAGTCCCTGAAAAGACTTATGGCTTCCTCAACTCTATCTTCTTTGCACAAACCAGTCAATATAACATTAAAACTCACCAAATTAGGCTTCCCACCTTTCGCAATGATTTCATCCAGCAGCCTCATTGCCTCATCGACACCCTTTTCTTTATAAGCAGCCTCAAGCAATATCGAGTAAGTAAACGCGTTCGGTACCAACCCCTTCTTAATTAGCCTTTCTACAAACTGAAGATTCTCATCCAAATTCCCCCTCATACAAAGCCCTCTAACAAGTGCATTATAAGTAACAGTATTAGTTGGATAACCATTTTCTTCCATCTTTTCAACTAACTGCAGGGCATGACCAACATTGCCTCTCCTACACAAATTATTCACCAAGAAAGTATAAGAAGCTGCATCAGGGATGCTGCCTGAAGCGGCCAACATTTCCATCATCCTAGTTGCTTTCCTAAGCTTATTAGACTTACAAAGATCATACAGCAATTGGGTTGCTTGAGCCACATCGGGCTTATGACCCTTTCCAACCATGTACTCGAAGTACAAAAATGCATCATTCATCCTAATCTCTTTGGCCCTAAGGTCATTATTCCTAGCTGACCTCCAGCTTGGCAACGTGAACACACCATTTTCTTTCGGTGCAATTGCCATCTGCTGCCGACTAGATGCTAACAGTCTAGGAAAATCCTTTACAACTTCAAAAAAATGGAACTTTAATGGTACTTCATTGGAAAACCCATGATGAATTTTAGGAAACTCAGATGGATAACGAGTCTTTACACGGGTTACAGAATTTACCTGGACTGCCATGGTTTCAGCTAGGTGAAGATTCGTAAACTCAATCCAATGATGCCAAATACATGAGAGCTTTGAAATTTGGATTATGAGTTTCGATGAGATAAATAAAGTAAATAGATGGAGAGGTGTTTGAAGAAACTCCCCAAAGAAAAAGAAGGAGCTGGTTTGCTATACTCTGCAACTGATAAAAATAAATACAGTAAATAAAAATAAAAATAACAAAAAAGAAAAACAAATATAGTGGATTTTCTGCCACAAATTACGTACGCACTTTTTTAGGCCCCATATGTTATCCATAATAAGATTGCCAAAAGGACTTTTGTCTTTTTTTTCTTTGATTAAAAAACACTAGTACTTTTTGTTCAAAAAAAAATAAAAAAAAATACTAGTACTCTCACTATTACAGTGCAACACTTTAAATATGTTGATTTTTTTTTATTCAATAACCAGAAAAAATTCTCCGGTTCTATCATTTTTTTTTTTGATAAAATACCAATAAACTAGTTTTACATATACCGATTACTACTGATAAGTTTAGCTGTCTCAAATATGTTAGTAAAAAAATTCTAAACTAACTTCATAACATTAATGGTAGTGATTAAAGTAAATTATTAATGCCTCAGTCTCAAAATAATAGAAGATATTAAATTTTAAGATTCTTACAAATTTTAATGTTAATCTTAAAATTCAGTACGAATTATTTTTTAGAAAAGAGAAAGTATTAATTTTATTTTATTATTTTTTATTTTTTATACAATAGATGAGGCATATACTGAGTTAAAAAAATTACAATATTCTATGGGAGAGCAACTCCGACTAAGTCATGTTTCAAATGCACATTAATTCATGTCGGTGGAACTGCAAAAATATGTAGTATAATCCACCCCAATATGAAGCTGCTATTGATGCAAGTAATCTACGGCGAAGTTCGTCTCTCGATAGTTATTTAGCAATTAGCCTATAACTAATTATCAATTAATTAATTTTAATGCTAATTTAGTTAGGTGTAATTTTAATGTGAATTTTTTTTTTTTTTAAGGACGGAGGGAATAGTAATTTATAAAACCTCTTATAAATAAGAGTAAGAAAAATTGGTGTCCAAAAAGTAAATCTCTTAATTGTAGACACAAATTTGAATGTGAATTTGTCTCAGAGGAGTTTAGTTCTCTAAGTGGAATATTTATTCAGGTAACACAGATTTTCTGGAAAAAAAGCCAAAAAGATGGAAAACCGCTCACCGGCGGCGGATTCACACCAGTGCCCGGTTCTTCTTCCTTCAAGGCCGTACCCGTTTCTTCTTCACGTCGATGGCGACGAAACCCAGACTCAAACCTACTGCGACGTCGTATCATCTTCATACACGGTTAGATCGATTCCGGAATCGGAAATCGGAACAATTCTGGGGCAAACTCATGGGTGGCTGTTGTTGAGGTTAGACTCATCTAATCGCTTATGCTTTTGGAATCCATTAAATTCAGAAAGGATCAATCTACCTCCCTTGGAATTGGGATCCCACTCTGTTTTCGGCGATTTTGTGGCCACAAAACCTCCCAATCATCCTGACTGCGCCGTCCTACTAATAATTGATAATACTGATCCTGACGGCCGATTCCTTAATGATTCAATTGCGTTTTGCTACCTGGGGAAGATCAAGCTTGGGCTCCCAAGAACATTGGCCAAAACACCACACTTGCGGATCACGCTCGTCGTTTTGGTTTGGGGATTCTCTATTTTTGTGATGATGATAGTGATAAAATACTCGTTCCCTGTTGTATGGCCGAGATTCAGCTTGTGAAACCGGGTCGGGTTATCACCATCAGGCCTGTTCCGTGGTGCGAAAAGATGGCGGTTCTGTATCCGCCTTTCAATCACGTTTTATGCCCTGGAAGGTATAACCGAGTTCAGAGCTATTGGGTGGGTTGTTGCGGCCATTTGTTTATAATACGTCTTGTGCTCGGTGGAGTTGGATTTGAAGACGACGTGATCAGCATTGTTTTATTGAGATTAGATTTCTCTAACATGACTTGGAACGTTGTTGAAAGCTGTACCAATGCGGTTTCAATGATACTTATCATATTCATACCCTCATTGCAAGTCGATTGCTTGTCCGGCTGCTCAAGCTGATTCCGAGAGGCTAGGGAATCGGATTCACTACTTCCGTTCTGTTGGAAAGGGACGGAAATTCTTCATGTACACTTACCACATTCAGCATAAAACCTTATCATATCAGTTAGTTTGCGTGTACATAGTCACAGATTGTCAGCATCACCCATTTGGATACTCAATGATGATGCTCAAGCACTTGTGATGGCGGAACAAGACTATCGCGCATCATTTTCCAGCACTACTGTTGGTGCTAATGTTACCGACAAAAAAGAAGATCAGTTATTGAGTGTGGAAGGGGAAAGACCGTGGTGCAATGTGGACAATGACAATAAGCCGGAGGTGGAGGGGCAGATGAAATGGTACCATCACTGTTGGATGACCTTCCTGTCGACATTTTGAAACTGATATCTTTACATTTGAACAGCCATGAGGATTATCTGAATTTTCGGACTGTCAATAATCTGTGTCGCCGGCTGTTGGGAGTTTCTATAAAAGAGTGGTGGAGAATCAGACAGAGTATTGCATCAAGGGGTTATATCAGTTTAGCAACTGCACATCATCTGCATGGCTAATGATTCCTTCCCTGTCGAAGGGCGGTCCTAATACTCTGTTGGATCCTATTATGCAGAGTAAGTACTATATCACCACGACCCCTGATCATACCTTTGGCAGAGATCCCAGGATTTGTTATATTGCCCATGGATGGCTGTTGATTTCAAGTGAGGTATCCACAGAGGAGGGGGATAGAGTAGTGAATTTGACGTTGTACAACCCTTTGACCAAGTCTACAATTTGCTTGCCTCAATTGCCTTGGATGGGGCATTGCTTCTTTTCATCCTCACCCAGTTCATCCTCAAATTGTGTTGTATATGGGCTAACCCTTGGAGAGCCGAGATTATGTTCCATACGTCTAGGAATGACCCACTGGGTTACAGAAGAACTGACCGATAACATCTATGACATGAACTTGGGACCACATATCCGGCCAGTTTTCATGGAGGGATGTTTTTACTTTCTAATTAAAGATTATGCTCTGGGTGATAAAAATTACCTACTTGGAATCCTTAGTTTGGGAAGAGAACATGGAAATGACAGGAACACTCTTAAGGCGCACTGGCCCAGACCACCATGTAGCTTTTTGAGACAAATTTCCTGGTGGGATGTGGTGGGGAACTTCTATCTATATATATAGGGGAAGCTTGGAAATGGGTGAGAGTGTTCAAGTTAGATTCATGGACTTGGAAAGAAGTTAATACACTGAAGAACTACACATTATACCTATCTCATATTTCATGTATTGCAAAGGAATCGAAAACTCAGGGGATGGGTAACAGAATCTATTTTCCGAGGTTTTATCAGAGATTCAACCATTTACTACTCTTTTTATACGCGCAAATTCCATTTCACAAACAGGAGGGAGGGAAGTCGAGGCGGGAAAGAGTCACTGGCTTATTACGAAGGATCGAAAGAGCAGTTGCGTTGTTGTTGGTTTGAACCTATGTTGTAATTAATCAGCCAGTTCTGGGAAAGAAACAATAACAACACTGATCTTCACCGGTATGAAATTATTATCAACTTTGATCAATCTTGTCTCTTTGCTCGTGTGTGTGTGTGTGTGTGTGTGTATGTGAATTTTTTTCCCCCTTGTACATATATAAACACCTGGAAATGCTGAGTAGATTGATTTACATAGGAAAGTTTTGTGTTGAGAAAGATGTATCAGTGACGAATGCCCTAGCTGAGCTTGCTGGAATTGTTCAATTTCGGTCTTTGTAATAAGCTCATTCATGAATTAGATTGCGATTTGATCTGGACTTGCTCAAAGTCAAAGGTCGACATAATTCTTTTGTAACGAGCTTGAGCTCCTTTGATTTGGTTCCTACCACAATCCAACATCGTTCCAGTTTGCTTGGATATTGAACATCCAACACTTGGAATCCTTTAGTTTCTGTGAGGAGCAAAAGACCGCCGAGAGTTCTATAAGGCCAAAATTCTTGGTATGATGTGGTGAGGATGTCCTGAGGTGAGAGTTTGTTTGTAAGAGGAATTATTTTTGCTCTAAAATAGTTTCCAAATAAGAGATGAATGATTAACAAAACTTTGAAATGTGTTTCAAATTGTCAACTCTTTTCTCCCTTTCCCAATTTTATGAATGAATGAATGTCCCCAAGAGGAGAGAGAACGGAATGACATCAACAAACATTACTACCCAAGTTTTTTCTGAAAGTGAACACAGTATATAACCTTTTTAGCTTTAAGAGTTAAAGCTACTAAATAGCAAATCCAAATCAGGGATTCAAATTGATAATGGCAATGTTTTTTCATTCAGATGCAAACATACCCAAAAACACGAATTATTTTAATTGAAAAAAAAAATCTTTACAATAAACGATCTACTAGAGTTTTTAGCTCTATAAAAGGGTTAGGCTGAAAATTCCTCCGTAACATGACAGTTTCAGGAGTGACATTTAGCTAGATACACTGGAAGGAAAGGATAGTAATCACAATCAATTAGTCTTGAAACCACTAATGGCGAAGGAAAGATTGCAGACTTCACGGCTTCCGAACTGGCGAACCACTTGATGCACTGCTATTGCTTGAGCTTCTACCTCTTAAAGGCCTGAAAATGAGCAAATAAGAAATAACCGGGGTCATCTTATATGAATATCTCTTTCAGCCATGCACAAGGTACTGAGATAAAAGAATTTGTTACCAACACAAGTTAACCAATCAGCCTCTTAAAGGCCTGAAAATGAGCAAATAAGGCCTTAATCCTCAACCCAAATAACCAATCTTACCTTCTTGGGCTACGGCTCCTAGATGCTCTCCTCGGTGCCTGAGAGAATCAAGCAACACAAGTTTAGACAAAATCAACATCACAAATTATTTTCAGCAAAAACCTGGGATATACATACTTTTCGTGGACTGGGAGATGAAGAGTAGGATGATGATCTCCCGCGCCGTCCCGCAGGTGCACGGCCTCTGTTAAGAGATGTGGGAATAAATTGAAACGTGCGTCAGGATATTTCAAAAGGCAAAACAACATAAAACAAAGAATAATAAATGTAGAATTCACCTCCTTGGGGACAAGGATCTTGAACGTGACCGAGCAGGCCTCCGAATGGGAGAACGGCTGCGCCTACGACCAATTGGAGAACGTCTAGGAGGACTACGAAGTCGACGTGGAGGAGAACTGGTGACGAGAAAACAAGTGTGAGGAGGCTACTAATAACAAATGCTAAAACAAAAGAGGTTAGCTAGTTGCACAAACTTTTGTTAAACACGGAATGAGCCTGCTACTAGGTCAAACCAACAATAAAGACTACCACGAATGGACCACCAAAACAGGCTATCAGTTTTTTCTAGGATGAACCACAATCCATATTTTCTTTGTATATGTTGTCTTCGCTTAGTTTTTTTCTAAGATACACAACAATCCAGTTTTCCGTTGATTTTACCAAGAGACATAAATTTACAGCCCTATTTATATTGCCTTCACTTCCGTTGCATTTTATATCATATTAATAGGTTCCAGCAACATTACAGCCAAAACTGATACAAACTTCAATGGCAAATAAAATGATCATTGCAAATTGTTTGCTACTACTCCAGTGCTAAAGAAATGCATCTTAACGGCAACAAATTCAAAGAGAAATGATCTAAGTGATCCTATATTTAAACTTACCGTCGTCTTGGAGGAGGTGGAGAACGTCTACGGTTAGGGCTGCCACGGATCCTTCTAGGAGAGGACCTAATGAGAATTAATAATCATAAGGACCGAAAACAACTTAATACAATACAAATCAAATAAACACCACATTACAAGCAACCTACCTAGGAGGTGAGCGGTATCGTCTTTGAGGTGAAGGTGGTGATCGAACTCGGGAAGGAGATGCAGGTCGTCTCCTTGGTGGTGGTGGTGAATCACCTCTTCGGCGAACAGGGGAGTCTATGCGTCGACGAGGAGGAGAATCAATTTCACGCCTTAGAGGCCCTCGTCGCCCCACGGGAGACCTCCTCCGTGGGGATGGAGGTTTGCGACGGGGAGATCCTGAGAGCAACGAAACCCATATTTCATTAGCATGCAGGTTCCAATGTTAGGAGAAAGATATCCCCATACCAAGCATAATACTAGAGTACCTTCTCTCAGACGTTTTGGCCCGTCTTCGTCTCCCTCAGCTCCAACATTTTCAGTTTTCGAAACGTCTCTCCTTGAAGTAGAAGCAACACCCTTAGGAGGAGGCGAAGAAGCCTTTTTCCTCTCAGGTAAAGTGAATTTGGCATGAACAACTTTCCCATCAATTTGGGCCTGCATTGACACCAATGACAACATTAGTTTATATGTCAGCAAGTATAAAAGTAAATCATTAGAAGTTCATACCCCATCCATGTATAACAAGGCTTTCTCAGCATCAGCTCTACTTTTAAACTCAACATATCCTATTCCTTTTGGTAGGTTGACCTGCCAATAAGAGAGAGAGAGAGAGCGATCAAATACAGTGACGAAGGGGAAAGAATATTAGCTAATGCACTCAAGAAAGATATCAAGACAAGAACCAACTTACAGCAGGATCCATGGCCAATCTCACTCGCACGACTTCACCAAAATTACCTATGAATGAGGGGGAAAATGAACATTATAAACACAAATTATCTATTTGATTCATCCAACTTTTTAAAAGAAGGGGAGTGAAAAACTATTTCACACAGGCATTGTAATGTACATGGAGCATACCAAATATTTCTTTCAGGTGGTTTTCATTGACATTCCTGCTGAGCTGATCAACACAAAGCTCCAGAGACTCAGGAATAGGAGAAGATTTCCTGGAAGATGGAAGAAACAAACAAGAAAGGGTTACAAATCAGATATACTTTAACCTGTCTATTCCAAAAGCCAGTACTAAAATCAAATAGCAAGTAATAACTCAATTTCAATAGCTTATTACCTCGGAGGTGGCGAGACTTTCTTAGACTGTCGAGGTGGGGACCGAACACGCTTGGCTCCTTCACCAGGGCTACCACATAACAGAATGATAAAAACAAAACAGATAAGCACTAAAATTGGCACCTAGCAGGAACCGAAAAGCAAACTAGGTAGGAAAATTCAGTAGAACTTTCAGAAAAGGCAGTTTTAATTTCCTAGATTACAATAAAAGGGTGCAGCCCAATGAGGTTATCAGTTCAACCCTAGAAAGTTTCAAACATGATACTAAAGATAAAATCTAGAAAACAAAGCAACAAAAATTTCAACTAAACTCCCATCAATCTTGCGAGGACCCTTAACCAGTTATTTTAAGTACATAACCAATAAAAATAACAAGCAATTCTTTGTCCCTAATCTAAAGACCTGAGCTTATCAATTTCAATTTAACGTCCGACCTAACCAAAACATGAGATAAATACAAAGTAAAAAAACGGGCGTGTGAGAGAGAAATTAGTCAATTACCTCCTCCTCTGGACTGGGGGACTAGGACTGCGGGAGCTACCGCTACGAGGAGAAGAAGATGAAGAGGAGGGTGAAGACTTGGAGCGAGAGCGAGAACGGGACCGAGATGGAGAACGCGACCGCGAGCTAGAGCGAGAGTCGGAGCCGGAATATGAGCGGGAGCGAGAACGAGATCTTGAACGAGAGGGAGAACGAGAATTAGAGCGCGAGCGGGAGGAGGAGCCGGAAGCAGAGCCCGGCGATGCCGCCGGTCGGCCTCGGCCTGGTTTCGCCATGACGGAGGTCACCGAAACAGAGACGAGAGAGGGAGTGTTGAGAGTGGTTAAACCCTAACTCTATGGAGGGATGAGGCTTTTGGTTTTTTCAGCTGACCAGAAGAACACTGTGAGAGCCGACCGCTGAGTTCACATTGGGAAGACTTCATTTGGGCCGTTTTAACTTTACTGTTTACACTTAAGATCCAACTAAGCCCATTATTTGCCAGCAGCAATGTAAACCCATTGGACCGTCTTCATTAAAATGTTGAATTGATGATGGAATGGGAGACAAATACTTAGCATTATTTAATTTTACATAATTAGTATAATAAATTTAGATAATATATTTAATTTTAATATCTATAAAATCAATAAAAATGTATTTTACAATACGATATACGATACGATACACGATACACATTTTACAATTTTGATACACGAAACGTATCTCGATTCGACAACCCATATGTAGTATTAAACACATTTTATGAAGGAAAAAAAAATGCGGACAATATAATGTTCCAACCATAATTTTTTTTGATGAGAGTTGACCTTTCATTCGAATCGAATATAATTTTTTCTGCAGTTACTTGTCAAATAGTCCCAACATTACAAATATACAGTCGTTGCAGCTGTATACCCACCCAATAACTAATAGATCAGCACATATACATCTTAGTTTTCATGTGAACTGTGGGGAAATTTTCATACTCTTACACCGCCTTCTTAATACTATTTTTCATCTTTAGTATTTTGGAAAGGTTCAAGTTAGAGGAAAATGAAATGTTACTCATCACTTCTGCTCCATTCAGTCTCTTATGACAAAAAATGATATGATTCTCGCCTCCCAAATGTGATAGTCATCGGTGACAAAACTCTTAAGGGGGTGGGGAGGACTCGCATACGCCCAACCGGAAGGCTCCTTAGGTTAATTGGTTCCGCCAGTGACTGCCACCATAGTTGTAATGGTAATAATGGAATTATATTGATAGTTTTTTTATAGAAAAGTTAAGAAATAATTGGCATTTTTCTTCCGGTTATAGCTGTATTAGAAAAAAATAATAATAATTCACAACTTTGCCTTTCAGAAGCTAATACAAATATGTTTCTTTTTTCTTCTAACAATAAATATGAATTCATATACATAAAATTGGTGAGGGTAAGAGGGCGTATATGAATTCACACAATGATAAATGAACAAAAATGAAATTTACAATTAATATCATTATTATTAGTTCACTATCTAAGATAAATGACAAATTGTAAGAAATGAATAATAATCAAAACAAATAGAGATCAGCAAGTTCATCCAAAGACAAATTGTCACCAGAGGGAAGTAGATTGGAATCGGCATTGTCAAGCATCCACAACAAATGATCAAACAGCACCACCTCACACTTCACCACCATCAAACCGCCTTCTTCCTCCTCCTCCTCCTCCTCCTCCTGATCACCGCCGTGCAGCCGCCGCCGGCCACTCCTCATCCGCCTACATTGATCATCAGATTTCTCAATGATGGCCTTCACTAAAGGATGGTCCAAGTACCTGGACTTAATCAAGAACCTCCTCCTTGAACTCCCAACAAAAATGGTCTCACAATCATCATCGTGATCTTCTCCTCCATGGTCATTATTATGATGTTGAAATATCATCATTTGTGCAGCAGCATCAGAACCCCATGTATCCAGGCGGTGATGATGGTGGCTGGTGGCGGCGGCGGATTCCGACCGGAGGCTGCTATAAGATGAAGTCCTGCCCAATTGCCTAGACAATGTCTTGCATTTCTTGAGTATCAAATTCAGCTTCTTCTTCATTTTTCTTTTTTTCTTGTCTTTGCTTCTTTGATACTCCTACTCGGATGATGATCCTGTATCAATTATTTGTGACATTCTAATACACATTTTTTGAGAGAATGACATGCATAGTATATATATATTAGTATTAATGGTGGTGTCGTGATCATCCACACCATCATAATGAATTTCTATGGCAATTTGGTTTGGTGCAGTGGAATTGAGTGAGTAAGGTGGGATGTCACTCTTAGTTGGCTTGCCGGTGGACTTGGGATGTGTGACCCACTTGCAACCGAAAAATGATTGTTACCTTCATTTTATTTTTTTATTTTTTTTTTCATATATATTGTGGTAATGTGATATCAACACAATTTGTTTATCTCTCCAAATAATAATATTAATTCGAAGCAAAAATTATAAAAAGTGACATGCTCTGTTGTATATTGGTTCTCTAATAACTTAACAAAAAGTTGTTGGTGCAAAACACAGGTTGTTACTTTCATTTTAACATTTGATTAAATACTCTCTCCGATCATTAATATAAGACATTTTAATTTATCTTATGTTTAACCTATTACACATTTTCAATCGACAAAAAAAAATCTTAAAAATATATCGTAACGATCAAGAGAACACAACGAATGGAAAAATATATTTTTAAGATTTTTTCGTCAATTAAAATTGTGTAGTAAATGAAACCTATAAAAAAATCAAAATGTCTTATAATAAGTACGGGAGAGAGCACAATTTACTTTACGATGATTCACAAATTCTTAATTGGATAGTATTAATTCAAAGTTTAATAAAGTAATTAATTCACTATTAGCATTAGTTTTTCGATGCTACAAAAACACATTTATAGGGAGACGAACTTCGCGGCTGATTTTTTTAGTCTATCTAACTTTTATTGTACTAATAGGTGTTGTGACTTTAGATGAGCCACCTGCGAGTATTAAACGGTGGTTGGAACACGAAGTGATCGGTGTTTCCTACTGTCGGAAGATGTTAATTCCCATACGTTTATGCATCCTTGTTTGTATCAAAAAAATATTATTAAACGATTTGGTTGGTGTAGAGATTATCTTTTCGTCTAGATGGACGATAATTCTACATGGATATTCACACGAAATAATAAAATGTACTCGGTAAATCAAAGATTTACTCTGATTATTAAACAATAATTAAAACAAAGCAAACTGATGAACTTCAACTATTAGAGACAATAGAACTTTGGAAGTACATACAATGAATAATCAAAACAGATAGAGATCAGCAAGTTCATCCATTGACAAATTGTTATCATCCGAAGAACAAGGGAGTAAACTCGGACCACCATGTTCAATCATCCATAACAAATGATCAAACAGCACCACCTCACACTTGATCACCAACAAACTCTCCTCCTCATCATCATCATAATCACCACCGCCGCCGCCGCCACCGCTACCATCCGCCTTCTGCCGCCGTCTCCTCTCGTCGGATTTCTCAATCATGGTCTTCAATAATGGGTGGTCCAAATACTTGGATTCAATCAAAACTCGCCTTTTTGGACTCCCTACAAGTATCATTTTATAACGATGCGAATTTCTTATAACACTGGCACGTAGATTACAATGATACTGTTCTCGAAACGTTATCATCTGGGCAGCAACATTAGAAACCCATCTATCTAGACGACGTTGATGATAATCACTGGCGGATTCGGATTCGGAGCTTAGGCGGGTATATGAAAAGGATGAATTCCTCCTCCTCAGTTTCTTGAGTATCAACTTCCACAGCTTCTTCATTTTTAATAATTTTGTGCTTATTCTTATTCATTTTATACCATCAATCTTTAGTAGTTCAAAAAATCTTGCATTGTGCTGTGACATTGAAATTTCGTTAGTCATATCAACTCAAAGTATATGAATACACCTGTCGATAATCATTTCCTTATTCCTTAGACAATCAATCTTCGGGGAATAATTTTAATGACGATAATCTCTTCCTTTGAAGGATTATTACATCGAAAAAATATTAGTACCACTTGGTTAAATTACCATGGCTATTAAACTATTTTGGAATCAATTAACGATTCTGATGACTAATAATTAAACTGTTAAGCTCAAAACATTTCATAAACATTAATATATCAATTGATTGATAGTCTGATTCGACAATCTTCCAAATCTTTTTTCCTATCAATCATGCAAATACGCGTTCATGGATTTTCCCCCTATGTCTGTATGTTAAGTTTTTCATAAAGGAATGACTATCGAGTCTTGTTGTTCCACGAATTAGGCGATTATGCTTCGATTAATTCAAGATGAAAATTTGATAATTATAGCAAAAAATAATTTAGAAAAATTAATTATAACTTTTCTCGATTTTGTAGTTTACATTTGAATGTCTTGCAGATAAATATTGGTATCTACATTTGATTAATGCACAAAGTTTTTTTTTTCAAATTTGCATTTTCAAGAGTTATATATGGTTTTCTATGTTGTAATCAATGTTTATATGTCATTAATATTTTAGTCTATCTTATGCTGTTAAAAGATGTAGATTTGTGAATAGTGTTGTGTGTGGATACTGGATTTCAAAATTTTAAGCAGCAAATGAATGATAATGTATACAATTTAGCATTTCATTTTGCCCACGGGTATAAATTACTCTTTTAAAACGAAGATAATTTTATTTGGCCATCTCTTTTACAGTAATGATCAATGAAAGTTAGATTCACTCTCTCTCGCAAGTTATATCATGTAAACACCACTCTATTCGTGATTAATGATAAGTAATATTTATTTAAAGCATGATACTTCAAACTCGTACAACATACGGTAACATCTAGTTGGTGTAATAGTTTGATTTTACGGATTGATGATTTAGTGACTCAGACAGCTGCTACTAACTAAATACGTACAATTGAACATAAATGTCATGTACACTGTACAGAGAGTCATCCCACATTTACAAAGAACCAAAAATAGATTATTCGTGAGGATCAGTAAATGATTTCATATAAAAAAAAATACTAAAGTACTTTTTAGCGGAAGTAATTTTTGTTAAAAGAAAAAAAAAAGCAGCAATGGAACAGAGTTAAAAATTGTAAAATTCAAGATGGGGTTATTTATAAAATAGCCAGCATAGAGGGTTTAATTCGATATATAAATAAATAAAAAAGGCGACCAAGATGCTGCAGACCGACGTCGTTGGCGGGAAGGACCTGTTTAGCGTTTCTTCTGCTGCAATGGAGTTGCCGTCGGCTACCGGAGACCAGCCTCCTTCAAAGTCTGCCGAATCGTCTGTGTCCGACGAGATCCCTCGCTCTGAATCGGTATTCAGTATAGATAAATTGTCGTTTCCCTTTTCTAATTTCCTCCTGTTTCTGGCGGGTTTTTTTTTTTCCATCGTTGCCTGGAGTTAAATTCAGGGTTTCCTTATTAGCAACTTAGTTCCTGAGTTTAACCGATTTCCTGTTGTAAGGCACTTAGTATGATTATTATCTGTTTGCTAAGGGAATTAGGGTGGTTTATTGTTTTGGGAAATCAAGACTTCTAATGGAGACTTTTGGGTAATTGGTCGGTGTTAGAAACAGTAACTCCTCAAAACAAGATTTAACAAGTTTGAGGATTTGGTTTTAGTAATCAATGTATTTCTGTTGCCATGGATTGCTTTTATAGTGTCACTAACTATTTATAATGCTATTAGGCTTTGAGTTGCTCAACCTGTACCCAGACTGCTGCCACCTTTATGGACTCTCCAGGGAGGATTCCTAGGTTTCTTCCGATTGTTCGTTCTGGAAGTGACACTGCTACTGGCCCTCGCAGATTCAATGAAGACGAACACCTTTGTATTGATAACCTTTCTGATTATTTGAGTCCTGAATTGAAATGGCCTGTGCCTTGTTCTATGTATGCGGTTTTTGATGGTCATGGTGGCTCAGGGGCGTCAACTTATCTTAAAGACAATGCGTTAAGGATTTTATTGCAATATTTGCCCAAAAAAGGAGACAATGATGATGAATTGTTTCTGGAGGAGCTGGAAAATTCTCTTCCGACAGCGTTTTTAGCAGCTGATCAAGCCTTAGCTGATGATATTAGTGTGTCTTCTTGTTGCGGGACGACAGCAATCATTGCTCTCGTTGTTGGGAGTCATCTACTGATTGCAAATGCTGGTGATTGTCGTGCTGTTCTGTGTCACAAAGGAGACGCAATTCAGTTGTCTCAAGACCATAGGCCTTCAGATGATGTTGAAAGGAAAAGAGTAGAGGATTTGGGCGGCTCCATTCAATTTGGATATTTAAATGGTGAACTTGCTGTTACTCGGGCCCTTGGAGATTGGAACATGAAGCGCTGCCATGGTTCTAAATCTCCTTTAACTGCGGAACCAGAAGTTCACCGGATTACACTGACAGAGGATGATGAATTCTTGATCATCGGCAGCGATGGGATATGGGATGCTGTATCAAACCAGGATGCTGTTGATCTTGTTCTTCGGGAGCTAAGGCAACATGGTGATCCACAGAAATGTGCTAGAGAACTTGTGGATCATGTCCTGCAAACAGATGCACACGACAACCTCACAGCAGTTGTTGTGTCCTTTAGTTGTCCGGAGCAGTTCAATCCACCTCCTTCTAAGAAACCTAGGTTTAGGATCAAATCAAAAAGATCAGATGGTTCTTCCAAAGATGTGGCAGAAGGTGAGATAGGAACCAACATCGCACAAGAGACGGTCAAAGAGGTTTGCGATTAACTTAGACTAGCAAACTATCACAAGTTGGAGGCTCTTGTTAGATGCTCTAGTTAATAGATTAGTAGTAGTATTCAGATATGATTACTCTGTGGCAGATTGGTATTGCTAGTTCTATAGTTCTATCTTGCACCAGCCACGATCGTGTGGGAAGCAGGAACTCCTGTATAGTTCTACAGATTCTGGAACTTAGGCAATATCAATTATAGTGAACATCTCTGTTTACAATTGCTTACATTTCTTCAGTACTATATAGATCTTCTTCACTCTGGCTATGAGAAATGATGCTCTTTGTAGTCTCTACGTATTAGTTCTTAGTACATTTCATTTGGATATTTTTTCGTTTCCACGCTTCCAAGCCATTTTCCGGGCGTGGCAGTAGCAATTTTACTTTGGATGCCATTTTTTTTTTTTTTTCCCCTCTGTAAATTCAATTTCTGGAAAATTTAACCGATTCATCTTAGATGCTTCGCTATCAAAGCCAAGCTCAATCGACCTCATAACTTTGGTTTCAAAATTCTGTCATTATGAACTTCCTGAGAACAGGAGAAGAGTAAGGTTGATTTCCTTTCTTATTCAAGACCGGCTAATCAACACTTAAGATATGCATTGATTTACTGGTAAAGTTTTCTGAAGTCTAACCTCAGGAACCGCGTGTTGGTGTTACATTTCTCTGTTCACAACCAAAAGGTACCTGGAAAAGGAACAATGGCTCAGAACATTAGTAATTGTGGAATCTTCTTCGTGGTTTCCTTTGCTTCCAAATTTAATTGAATAAGCAAAGAATTGAGATCTCCAAACAGCTGCAAGCACCCCAGACCCAGACCCTCCTTCCAGCTCCAAATCAGCTTCTAAGCTCTGTCATTAACGTCCCATTTCTCCTCCATGAGAAGCTCATATGCTGATGCTCCCAAGTCCAAATGAACATTGGGCCGATCAATAATTTGGGCCCTAATGACTCTTGTTAAACTGATCATGGTGGATATCTCTGTAGGGTCATTGCCTCTATAAAGTGAACGGAAAGGGGGAACTGCTTAAACAGGCATTTGTTGGAACTGGATCTGCTTCACGTGCCGCGGCTGCGTTATGTTTGAGGTGCACCCCTTTTCCTTGTGTCACTGCTTTTAAGTTGCCTGCCTCACTTAATAATCAGGAATTTATGCTTTGCCTTCTTAACACGGCATCCGACTCTACATTTGAAATTGCTTTACTTTCTGTTGGGTTCTAGATTAGGTTGGGGTTGTTGGAATTTCTCCTGATTTACTTGACTCTCAAGTACTTGTTTCTGGTCTTTCTGTAGTCCCCTCGACCATCTGTCCATGGATGAAGCTACAGATTGGTGAAGAGTACACTTTGTATTGGGCTACATTTGGCACCCGAAAGGCGTGAGCGCGTTAGTGGTAAGTTTGTGTTCCCAGCCACTTTCATTCTTGCAATATTGGACCATTCTGAGTTCTTATACTCGCTTTGTCCATTCATAATGGTTCACTTTGTTGTACAAATTTAGTTCAACAGACTGGCCTATTTGAGTGGGCCAAAGGGAGATTCCCCTGTTTCCGGCCCTCCCTGATTACTGTGTTCTTTTTCTTCCTTCTATTAAGCTTTCAACGTTGGAAGAGACGGGGTTGCAACAATGTTCTCTAATCATGACATTGTAGACTGGCTAAAGGGGTACATGAGCAAACTTGGGGTAATATGGGAGGACCGGCAGCGCTTCAACGAAGAACGTGCGCTGACTGGAGAATGTAGTAGCTTACCTATTATCACTAGCCATCTCAACAAGCTTTTCCTGTCTTTTGATGACCAAAACTTTTTCCATGCAAATAATTTCCTCATCCTTTTTGTGCTTGTTGGATGAGATTGTGCAACTGTAATTCTGACCTGCAAGATTTTTGGTTGAATTTGTCCATGTGGTGCTAGTTGGTGGTAAGGAAGAATAATAATACATACAGGGCAAAATGATAAGAAAAAATTACAAGGACATAATCATAACATTTTTAACACTTATCATTTGAGATTTAAGTATTTAAGGTCAGGGCATAGTTTAGATGATTGACAACTCATTCCTTGTAAGTTTTTCTTGTAATTTTTTTACTGTATGTATCGCTATTCATTAAGGAAATGCAAACTGTAGTCTTTAGTGGAAGATTGTGTGCTATTTTTTCTATCAAGGTTGATGCATGCTTTACCCTTTAGATCATCACATGGAAGAGCAGAGGACAATCTGGTTGCTGCGTAGCATGGGGTTGATTGATCTTTTACTTTTAGAAAAGAAAAAGAAAAAGTAATTTGGAAAGGGAGCAAAATGAAAACTAAATGTTCATTTTATCATAATAAAAGATATAATAGAATTCAACTAAAATGGGCACCTTTTCATAAAAGATATAATAAAATTCCATCCGCAAACTTTAGCTTCCATCGGAACCTTTTCTTAACTCTTAGCCACCAAATGAAGGGGCAAAAAATATGTATTTCACTTTACATTTTTTCTGTAATTCTGAGTTTCTATCTAATATCAGCATTCCACTGAGAGGAAAAGGGATCTCATTTTATCCCCAATAAAAGTGACAATGAATTTTTATAGTCAAACCAAAATTGAGTTGATAAAACTACTTGGATCCACACCCGTCTGCTGGTAACAGCAATAAAGAATCTATCCTGGAAGGGTGGACTTGTGAAACCATAAGAACGGCAGTTCCACAATGACAAGTGCATGGATTCAGACATTAAACCTGAACAGCATAACATCACCTTCTTGTACAATGTAGTCTTTGCCTTCTAGTCTCAACTGCAAAGTTGCAGATATGTTGTTAAAAACTAATAAGCAAGTGAATTGAACATATAAAAAATAACCCAAAAAGATAACTTTCTCACAAGTCCTTTCTCCCTCGCAGCAGAAAAAGATCCAGCAGCAACGAAATCATCGTACCCAACCTGGGAATGGAATAATTTAAATACTATCATTGGGCTGGATAAGGATGTTAAATGGTTTATGTAGCATGTCCTACTCATTGAGAGTGAAATGGTTCAGAAAAGGGCCGGATGATGACCAAAAACAGTGAAACAGCTACGTTGTGAAAATTTACTATGGCATGCAATACAGAGAAAACCTAAACACTTCTCCATAAAAATACTGTTAGTTCCCATCATACTTACCGTCTCAGCTCGAATGAAACCCTTCTCAAAGTCAGAATGAATAACCCCAGCTGCTTGAGGTGCAGTCATCCCTAGAAAGATAAGGACAGGATATTAAATTACTACCCACAGAAAAAGTATATGCCAGTATCTCAGTCATTCTTTATTTGATGATGAACCTTTGATTTGGAATGTGATAATGTGATGCTTTGTAGTGGAAATATTGAATGGCCAATCAACAAAAAAAAGACTAACATAACTAGAAGTTACCTAGGTTCTATATTATTGCAATTAACAACAAAAATTTTAATTTACGTCCAGGGAGTACCCAACTGACCTGTTAATATGGTCCATGCTTTGGTTTCCTGAAACAAAATCAATAGAAGTGTCATCACATGAAAGTTGATTTCAGTTAAATAGTACATAATTTATCATCGTATGATTTACCTTTTCACCTGATGTGAAGTATGTACGCAACCCCAAAAGGTCGTATGTTTCTCTAATTAGATTCCCTAAGCCACTCTCTTTGACACCAAGTGATGCCAGATACTCGATCCTCTCTTCAGGTGGAAGTTCTGAGAGCTCGGATTCAACCTAAAATGGGCAGATTTCTAGTTAGCTGAATGTTACTTAAGCCTCGGCATAGAATAGTGTCCCCATCTGATACAAGTCAGGACCACAAAACCCTAAGGAACATGTCGGGAGGATAAGAAAAACATAACTAATAGGAATGACGATGTCCCCTTACATCAGGACTGATTAACTAAAACCGAGCAGAAATACAAGTGATGGAAAGACAAAGAAGCAAAGGTCTGCTATGATTACAAGGTCATGATGCGACATCTACTGACCTGTGCCGAAACTGTCACTAGGCCAGATTGCAACTCAGCAGCTAGCCTCTTTACTTCTGCAACATAAGAATTACTTTCTGGTGCAGATAGATCTGATTCCGCAACATTTGCCACGTAGATAACTGGTTTCATAGTAAGCAAACATAGATGTTTTATAGCCTCTTTTTCAAAATCTGTCAATGATACTGAACGCGCTGGTTTTCCGTCCATTAGAGCTTCCTGAATTCTTTCCAAAGCAGATTTCTCGGCTTCCTCCTGATAACAAAGAAGCCAAAATGCATAAAGTTCAAACTCTCTCAGTAATTGGAAATACTGCAGAATAACTAGGAGTAAGAGCAAAAGATCTCCATCTCACCTTGACTTTAGCCTGTGAATCTTTACTTCTACCCTTTTTGAGTTTGTCAAGTCTTTTCTCTATCTGAAGCACTTGAAATGTTAACTTGTATCAATTTTCCTCGTAAGCAAAATAACAAATGTACAACCCCCAAAAAAAAACCCAGAAAATAGGAAAGAAATCTTCTATCAGGAGTAAAGAGATTTCTCCATTCTTTATAATCTCTGAAGGAAAATTTTGAATAGAAGTACCATCCTGCCCCACAGAAACAGGCAGAACATAATGTGTTAGAACATGAGAGCCAACCTGATCCAAGTCTGAGAACACCAACTCCAAATTGATGACGTCAACGTCAGACTTCGGATCTACTTTTCCATTGACATGGACAATATCATTATCATCGAAACATCGGACAACCTACAAGTGTAAATTTAATTTTAATACACAGCTCAAATCAAATTAGAAAGCAACTTCATCCAGATTTTTTCTCAGGAGTGACTAATATTCAGTTTGATGTTCTTCCTCCATTTCTAGTTAACACTTTTTCTCCCTGGTGGATCCATTTCACACAGGCTGCCTTAGAGTAAACATCATACAAATGTTATAAGTTAGAAGCAGAAAAACCTGAAGTATTGAGTCAACTTCACGAATGTGTGACAAGAACTTGTTTCCCAGACCCTAAAATCATAAACAAAGTTTTCTCAGAAACCATACTCAAGCACAGTACCGAATAGAGAGACGAATGTGAGAGCCCAAAACCGACAAATTTTCATAGGGGAAAAGGAAGTTATTGTTTTTTTCTTCAAGTTATTGTTTTTTTCTTCTATCTTTTTCTCATTACCTCCCCTTGGCTGGCTCCCTTAACAAGCCCCGCGATATCAACAAACTCTATAGAAGCAGGAACTGCCCTCTGTGATTTGCTAATATCAGAAAGAACATGAAGACGGGGGTCAGGAACAGCTACTTTCCCAACATTTGGCTCAATTGTACAAAAAGGAAAATTGGCAGCCTGTGCCTTGCCATTTTCAACCTGTGACAAAAAAAAAACTAACTAATTATTAAAATTACATCGATAAATAACAAATTGAAGTTAAAATCAGTACAACTGACAATAAAAAGGCCATGAAACACATACAATTTGCTTAGTTCAATTGTGCAAAATAGAAAACTAGCAGACCTTATTCTTCCCATTCTCAACCGTCAATAAACTAAATCCAAACATCTTAACAATCTAACCTAAAATCTCCAAAGCTATTTACTTGACAACTTTCTCAACCTCCCAAACTAATGAAAATACTAAAATACTATAACAATGGCCTCGGCCCCTATGCTAAAGTTACAACTTCTACAACGGCAAAGAAAAAGATACGAGAATCCAAATTTTGCAATGCAAACAAAAATGTAATATGCAGCCTGAAAACAGACGCACAACCTGTTAACCAAATAAAGTAGTAATAATACTAAGAACAATCTTTATCAACTCCAAAACTACTATATTGACTAAATGCATACTCAATTCAAAGTGACAGTTGCATTGAAGAATCGGTAAAGAAAAAGGAATAACTCACAACTGCATTGAAAAGAGTTGACTTGCCGACATTAGGGAGTCCGACGATTCCTGCTTTCAAACTCATAGTCACTCTCGCCGCAGTAGACATCCGCCGCTGTTGGCGAGTGAAGAAGACAGAAGCAAGGCCGTTTGAGTAGGAGCAACATTCGAGGAGTTGAACGGAGGAGGATTTCGTGAGGGAAAGAGTCGTGAATTTGGATGGGATGAGTCGTAGCGCCATTGAAATTTCTTGCCTTTCTTCTTCTTCTTATTCAAGGTCGGTCAGTTCAGGCCTCAGAGCCTCAGGGAAATGGATTTCACAGGTACTCAAATTGCAATTTTGCCAAAACCTTTGCGATATAAATGAAAATCTAGGATCGGCCCCCAAAAATTGGATTAATTGTTTCATAAATCTTAATAGGGTTTAAAATTACCTAAACTTATGTGTATACTTTGCTATTTTGACAAACATACTGTATTTGCATGTGAAAAATGTTAAACGGAACAAAAGTATGTGTTTTTTTCAAAAAAATAAATAAAAAGTGTAAACAAATTTAGAACAAAGTATACATACTTTATTAATCATAGAAAATACAAATCTTTGCTATATCTGTTTAATATAATTCTTTTCCAAATATTCTAACTGGCACATTCGCATGTTTGTGAAAAGTGTTAAACCAAACAAATAGGTACCACTAGATGTTATACCAACACAATGTGTGGATATAACATTTTTATGAACTCTTCATAAAATATTAAAATAAAATAGTATATGTATATCATAAGTGTATAAATTATAATTTGCAAAATAATAAAAAAAATGTTATAAAAGTATACATGAGAAAATAATAATATTTTTTTTCCACCGTGATATTGAATTATAATTTGAGAGTGATTAGATTAAAGAACAACATAACAATCCAACTATGGACCTCATCCTCCACCAAAAGTACTCCACATACTTTTTTTTTCATAGGCAAAAAAAAAAAAAAATCAAAAAATTAGAGCTTTTAGATAGAAACATTTTTTCCAACTTCATAAACAGAACAAATGTGACGTGACTGAATTACAAAATTTGTGAATTTTGATAATTGAATTATGTGAAAATGGGCATTCTTTATTTTTGAGTTGATTATGCCATTAATGACGATTGAATGGCTGAAAAATCCTAAAATCTGGATTTTTGAATATATATATATATATATAAAATGAGAGTGAGGCCTAAGGGGAGTCAAAACAGACTTTAAAACAAATTGATTAAAGTATAGATTTGTTTTCTATAAGTACCGGTTGGTTTTTCTTCTAAAATTAGAGGATCAGTTCAACAATTATGTAACTTTTTTGTAAAAAAAAAATCATGCAAAAATGACAAACTGAATTTTGTCATATATGACACCTTAGGTACAATTATTAGTTTAACATTGGAAAATATTTTAAATTTTGAGCAAAATACATACACTTGGCCAACTATGAAATGTAGTATTTTGTTTTAGTATTGTTGCATTTGATTATTATTCTTCTTCAAAGGTTTTGGACGGAGCAAATTATGTGTAGTTTGTTTAGAAGACATCCTTATTGAGATATTCAAACTAAGACTCATATTGAATATTAATTTTTTTAGAAAAAAATTATGAGTAATATGATCAAATGGTCCTTTACATTTACCAAAAAAACTTAATTTGGTCTATAACATTAATAATTCACTAGTTTGGTCCAGTATATTTACCTTTTGAACTAATTTAATATTTTTTACTTTTTTTGACACTTTAAGATTCTCGGATTAACCATTTCTTGAATAAGTCAACACGGGTATTTTTGGTAATGTATTTTTTTTTAATTTGATAAAAATAAAAAAAAATTGATTAATAATATTAAACATATATATTAATTTATAATTAATTGAAAAAAAATTCCTCTTTCTTTATTACTATCTCATAGCCCCCCGGTTTCAAGTTGAATCCTTTTCTGATTTTTTTTTTTAAAAAATTTATCTAAGGTATTTTGGTTTCCTTTATCCATAATTCTATATTCATCTTCTCCCCCGTTACATTTCCGAATTCTTTTTCGTTTGTCATCTCCCCTCTGCTTCTAAGCACAATTGTTATTAGACCAATATCCTCTCGTGGTTATTGTAGACATAAGCACGAACGCCGTCGGCACAGCCGATCTAAGCCAATTTGTCACTATCACTGCCGCCGCCATATCCATAGCTACTGTTTGCGGTAGAGAAGAACAACTGTTCTTTATCGAATCGCCGTCGTGAACAGAGGTTGGCAACACAGATCTAATTTTGTAGGAGATTTAGTTACGGCATTTCCAACCCAACATCCCTCTAAACTCTATATTTAGAGTTGAAACAGTGAAATCTCACTACTTTTACTGTTTAAACAGTCCACTACTTTTACAGTTTAAACAGTGTCAGCATTTCCAACTCATTCCCGGTATAAAATCTCTCTAAAAAGAATATTCTCAGTATATTATATTATTTATTATTTTTCCGTAAAATTAATTTTTGTTGTTTTTTATTTTATTATATTCTAATACTAAAATTAATTACACTTAAGAAATTTATAATTACATATATGATCATTAATTTAAATAATAATTACTAATATTAATCATTAAATTTAAATTGCAAAAATTTTATGTAATTAATTATAAAAAAATTTTCACCATATATTATGTCAATTAAATAAAATTACAAAAAGGAAAATAACAAAAATATTTGGCTCAACGATACTAATAAAACACCATTACTAATTAACATTAATGAAAAAACAAATATATTGATATAATTAAATTATAACAATTAAACTAATTAATGCATAAATAGGCCCAAAAGGACTCAACTATAAAAGTTGCTTAAAAAAAGTCCAAAATGCTTCAAACTGATCCAAAGAAAATAAAAGCCCAGTACAAAACCCTAAATGCAACCCCAATTTAGAAAAAAAAAAAAAAAGAAAGAAAAAAGGGGTCACCCGCTTCATAGCGGGTGAACATTACTCCGCCAAATTTGAAGAAGGGCGGAGCACTTTGGCAGTGAGGAGCGGAGCGGAACAGAATGCGTTGGAGCGCCCGATCCGCCAAATCCAACGCATCCGCCCAGTTTAGCGGATACGAGATGCTCTTATATCCTCCCTTCTTTCCTCCGCCACATCACCATCTCTCACCACCTCACTGCCAACATTAATCCAAATAAACAAGCATTACCTCAATGAATAGAGACATGCTCCCCACTGTCAACATCAAATTTCTAATCCAAAAAAACTGATTTCTCTCTCAAAATTACAAAAAAATAAAATAAAAATCAAACCCTACAAAGATTCGTTTTGATAAATCCAACAACAATCACTATTGTGAATTTTTTTTTTTTGAATTTTGAATTTCTTAATTTTATTTTTAATTAATTTAAATTAATATAATATATTTAATATTGTTTCATCAATTTTTGTATTTTATATTTTTAAAAATTCAAAAATTAAACATTACCGAAAATACTCCTGTTGACTTGATCAAGACATGGTCAATAAACCCCAATTGTAAAGGGTCAAAAAAAAAAACAAAAAGGACTAAATAAGTGTAAAACACAAATATATATGACCAAACTAGTACATTTTTAATGTTATGGACCAAATTAAATTTTTTGATAAATGTAAAAGATCATTTGAGCTGATTACTCAAAAATTATTATTAGTTGTTATTAAAATCAAATATGCACTAAATTGAAAAAAAAAATTTGGTGATTCTACAATTGAATGAAAGCAATTGAGAAAAAAACTAAACAAAATTATCACAAAATTATAATATTTTAATTAACCATCAAAATAAAATTTAAATTACAACATTTAACATTTAGGCTTGTTTGATAAAAATCACTTAATGCTTAAAATTATTGGATTAAGCATATTTTTCATTTCAGGATGCTTGATAAAAAATAAAAATAAAAAATAAACATTTTAATGAATTAAGTGGTGCTGAAACTGCAGTACAATATATAACCAATAAAAGTTAGCTTATTGCTTATTCGATAACTGCTTAATAAGTTTAGTATTTCTAATTCAGTATTAAGTATTCAGAATTAAGCACTAATTTTTTATCGAACAGACCCTACAGACATTTTGATGAATTAAGGTTGGAGTGCATAAAACTTTGGTGTACAAAAGATACTTTAAATATTCTATTTTTTGCACAAAATTTAATGTAAATTACAATGAAATGGAGAGGCTCTAACCCTTAAATGTGTAAACTCCTAAGGCAATGTATAAGTATTATTGGTTATGATTCATTCCTTTGTCAAACTTTCAGGTGAAATTTATATGCCCAAAATCTTTATTCTATAAAACAGTATTCCCCTTATATAAAAAAAAATAGTCAACATTGAGTTTTTAAATTTGTAAAAACTCAATGTGAATTATTTTTTAGAACTGACGTAGTACATTTTATAGTGTATTTCAATATTCAAATGCAGTTATTGACAAACTCGTTTTCATCTACCTATATATGTAAAAAGGTGGTCCGGTCACTTTTCACATTTGAATTTCTGAAAGTATTTTTTTTTACACATGCGAACTATTTTTTCATCTTTATTCATTATTTTCATTTCAAAAAAGTTCATTACTATTGTATAATGCATTAGAAGTTATGTTTCTTTTCACCTTCGTTCATTACTCTAAAAAATTTTAGTTTTGTTTTATTCCATCTTCTTATCTCCCCATCATTGTTATTAACCATTTACTACTATTACAAAAATACCTCATATTAAATTTTTTGTAATATCATTTTACACATGTGAACTGCCTTTTCATATTCATTCATAGTTTTTACTCTAAAGATTTTTGTTTTTTTTTTTAAAAAAAAATTCATTACTATTGCATAATGCACTAAAAACATATATTTATGACTATTGCAATTTTTTCTTATGACTTCAATCTTCTCATCTTCCTTATCATTATTTTCATTAAGACTTCATTATATACTATTACATATGTGTAAAACAAGTCTCCATCCAAATCTTTTCTCTCCTTTCCTCCTAAAGTTTGGCGATGAATTTTTATAAAGATGATAGTTATGATGTAGTAGAGGGTCAAATCACATTCTAAGGGCGTCCAATTGTTGTGATGCAGGTTTTTCTTATGAATGTAATATCATTCTTTTCACTTTTTAATAGCACATTAACTAGATATGTATTTCATCATTTCATGTATGCCCATTTTTCTGTTATAGATTTGTTCCAAACCGACCGAAAGATTAATGTATGCCTCTTTATATTTTCTTAAAGAATATAAAATTTCCATGCATTAAAAACACTCACCATTCATATGCGCTAATATATTGAATATGATACTATAAAAATATATTATTAAATAAATTTATTTGTTCATACACTTTGATATTAATTGTATTAATTTAGAATTATGAGAAGGCGCGCGAAGCACGTCTAATATAACTAGTGTTTGTAAAACGATACTGTAATTAATATCGTCAACATACCACTATGTTAAGTGTTTACGTATTGTTAATTATGTAGATGACAACAATTAGTCAATTAATTAGAGGTGATCAGAGATTTAACGAGACGAAACAATATATCCATTATATTGTACTAGGAAGGAGATTCAACCAAATCGTAAGCAGGTGAGCTAATTGGTTCAAACTATGAGAACTGACTGAGAAGTTGAGGGCGAAAATGAAATGGCCACCAAAATAAAATAAAATAAAATAAAAACACCAGTACATTATTAAAATCATGATACAGATAAGGTAGTCACAACTTCCAAGAAATTCTCAACTAACTTCTCTAATTGTCACTATTATCATTGGATTATTCTATGTTATCAAAATCACCCTCATTAACTTAAAATTTCCAGCTTTTTTTTTAAATCCTATAATTACTTCATTTTATTTATTATATGTATAGTTACGGCTTGTTTGATACCATCATTTATTGTTTAAAATTATTCAATTAAATATTTTTTAATTTTACTTGTAAAAAAATTGATTTTTTCATAAATTAAATGGTAACAATTGCTTATTCAGTAACTGTTTTTATGAATTTTATCATTCTAAATAATTTATAACTAAGCATTAACTTTTATGAAATTAACCCTTAACCATTCATCAAATTACGCTTTTTTTTCTCGTCATTATATCCATCATTTAATCAATTGTTTAATTATGAATAATTATGGGAGGAGTTAGTATTCATTACTCATTAGAAAAAGTGGATAAGTCCAACACGAGAGTCAAATGTTATGGATGAATCCAAATTGAATAGAGGGTAATTATGGAACTACGGCAAAAGTGCCCACGTTTATATAGGTGAGGCAGTTTTTCGCCAGTAAATGCGTTGACTATTCACTCTGTTCTTCCTCTGCTTCTCACTCTGTTTTCTCCGAAACTTTGCGGTCGTTTTTGATCGAGAAACACTCGAAAATGGCTGAAGAAGTATTTGTTGGTTCAATTGATCAAGGTACAACGAGCACCCGTTTCATCATCTATGACCGTTCTGCCAAGGCTATTGGATCCCATCAAGTTGAGTTCACACAGTTTTATCCACAAGCCGGGTATTTTTTTTAATTTCCCGATCATTTTGTTCCGACTTAATTTTGTGTAAATTGTTTATCAATTAAAACTTATGAATTTTTTTCCCATTTCTGTCTGACAGATGGGTTGAACATGATCCTATGGAAATTCTTGAGAGTGTTCGTGTGTGTATTACTAAGGCCGTCGATAAGGCTACTGCTGATGGCCATAACATTGATGGTGGGTTGAAAGCTATTGGTTTGACTAACCAGAGAGAAACTACTGTGATCTGGAGCAAATCCACGGGCAAACCTCTTCATAATGCAATTGTTTGGATGGATGTTCGTACTAGCTCTATTTGCAGGTAAGCTTGTTTCTTTCCGACCTTAGTGTTAGAAAATACTAGCTATTTTTCTGTTGGATTCCAAATACTGTTGTTGGCGACTTTCTAAAATTCCTGATTTTGGTTTGTTACTTTTGATTTATCGGGTGATGGATCCGTTAGATGAGGAAAATGAGATTTTTAATTATGGGTTGTAATGAATTCAAATATTGCGATGATATATTGCTACAGATTCGTTAGGTTTTAGATGGGGAATTTGGATTATATGACTGTTGAAGCATTCTCATAGTCCTGTATTGTATAACCATCCTGATTTCTGAATTGTGTTGATTTCACTTATTTGATCGTGAAACGTTTCAGATTATTTTTAGATAGCCTTGTGTTTCTTCAGGTTTTGATTCCACTGATTTGTAATGAATAGTAAAATGAATATATTGAAATGGATCGAGATAGGCGCAATAAACCTAAGCTTGTTTCAAGTTTGGTGTTTCGGTTAAGTTCTCACTTGGTTTAGTTCAAACTTTAATTTACATCCTTTGAAAATTGGGAATTTATTATTTTGAGCAACTCAAGCAACCACAAATGGTGTTTATAAAAGAAATTTGTTGCATTTATCTTTCCGTAGTTTAAGCTTTGGGAATAAATATTTTCAATTTTCAGGAAATTGGAGAAGGAATTATCTGGAGGCCGAACACATTTTGTAGAGGCTTGCGGCTTGCCCATTAGCACTTACTTCAGTGCCACAAAGCTGCTGTGGTTGATGGCAAATGTGGATTCTGTTAAGGATGCAGTAAAAAAGGGAGATGCCCTCTTTGGGACTATCGACACTTGGCTCATTTGGAACATGACTGGAGGGGTTGAAGGTGGTTTGCATGTCACTGATGTCTCTAATGCCGCAAGAACAATGCTGATGAACTTGAAAACACTTGACTGGGATAAGACTACCTTGGAGACCTTGGGGGTTCCAGTTAGTATATTGCCGAAAATAGTTAGCAACTCTGAGAAAATAGGCAACATTACCAAGGGATGGCCTATTACTGGGATTCCCATATCAGGCTGTCTTGGGGACCAACATGCAGCCATGGTGGGGCAAGCTTGCCGAAAAGGTGAGGCTAAAAGCACCTATGGAACTGGTGCATTCATACTTTTGAATACGGGAGAAGAGCCAATCAAGTCAAATCACGGACTATTGAGCACAGTCGCTTACAAGCTTGGGCCAAACGCTCCTACAAATTATGCTTTGGAAGGCTCCATTGCTATTGCTGGTGCTGCTGTTCAATGGCTGCGAGATAGCTTGGGCATAATTAGCAGTGCTAGTGAGATTGAAGAGTTGGCGTCAAAAGTTGATTCAACTGGTGGTGTTTATTTTGTGCCAGCATTTAATGGTTTGTTTGCTCCTTGGTGGCGTGATGATGCTAGAGGGGTGTGTATTGGGATAACCAGGTTTACCAACAAGTCTCATATTGCTCGGGCTGTTCTTGAGAGCATGTGCTTTCAAGTGAAAGATGTGCTGGATTCAATGCAGAAAGATGCTGGGGAAAATAGAGAGGATCGAAATGAAAAGGGAGAATTTTTGCTAAGGGTTGATGGAGGTGCTACCGTGAACAATCTTCTGATGCAAATTCAGGTTTGCTTCTTCATTAGTTTTGTTTCTTCCACATACTTCATGTATGTTTTAACATATGCATTTTTGCAGACCACATAATGTTAACATTCTGATACATTTATAGGCTGATTTGCTCGGTAATCCAGTCGTAAGACCAGCTGATATAGAGACCACGGCTCTTGGAGCAGCTTATGCTGCTGGATTAGCGGTAGGCGTTTGGAGTGAAGACGAAATATTTGCATCTGGAGAGAAGATGAAGAAAGACACAACTTTTCGTCCAATTTTAGACGAAGAACTGAGAAAGAAGAAGGCTGATTCTTGGTGCAAAGCTGTTTCCAGAACATTTGATTTGGCTGATTTGTCTCTGTGATTTACATCTGCAAATACTGTGAAGTTTTACTTAAAATGTCTCATTTATGCTCTTGTTATTGATTTCACTTATGAATAAAAGTGCTCGTTTCTGGTTCTTTGGTTTTAACACATATAAGCGTTATGGAAAGGTTCTCTAAACTTAATGATGCTCGATTCTCTTTTTTTTCAACTGATAACTAGATTACTCTGCACAATTCTGTTGCACTATGTTTCTATTAGATTTTTGCAAAAGAACTGTTCCAATGATTTTTCCGGCTGTTGCTAATAACCATAATGACTATCAAGTTAGAATTATTTATAAATACGGAAATTCCAACTTAGTAGATGCACCCTAGACATGAAATTTCTAAGACATAGTTCGTTGACAACAAGTTAAAGTTGATACCACGGGAAGAATGTATTCAAAACATTGTCAAAAAGACTGTCTTTCCCTGTGATCCTAAACTGGTAAATACGAGATCACACCAGTGTCCCATATTTTAGTGTCTTCTACGACTATCACGATCATGATCTCCGCGACCACGAGAGGTAGTATCATCTTCTTTCATCCTTCTCTTTCCAGAAATTTGTTCTTCGCCTCTTCCATTGCGACAATCAATGTCGGCCCGTTTTCTACTGTTTTGCTCATCTCTCGACTCATGCCGACTTCTATCATCGTGGCCTTCCCTTACAGAATCCTTATAATCCCTTCTGCTTCGAATCCCTCCCAAATCATCTAAATGTTTCCGTTCATCCCTTCTGTTTCGATGCTCCAAATCATCGGAATCTTTCCTTTCATCCCTTCTGATCTGATGCCCCAAATCATCGGAATCTTTCCTTTCATCCCTTCTGTTTCGATGCCTCAAATCATCCGGATCTTTTCGATCTCTACTCTTTTCATACCTCTCGTCCTCTTTCTTGCTCCTGTCTCTACCTCTGTAATCTTTTCTTCTATAATCTTCCCCCTCATCCCTTAATCTGCTGTCTCTATCTCTTGTTTGGTGTCGGAGATCTCTACTTCTTTCATCATGCCTGTGGCGGTAATTGGCTTCTTTTCTTGTATGCCGTTCTTCACCATCCACTTGTCGTCTTTTATCCTTTTCATTTTCAATATCTCTTTGATCTCTTGGCATCTTACTGCGTTTGGGACCTTGAAGATCATCTCCATCAAAAACCATGTCATAGCTGAAGGGAGACCAAATATAAGATTATGTGAAGACAAGTATGAGCATAAGAAGCATATAAAGTAGTATAAACTAACATCTCCATAATGACCAACCTTGAATTACCGTGCTGACCATTTCCATCCTTCAGTATGTACTTCCCCAGCTGATGAGAGTTCGTCGGGTCTCCTGTGCAGTCCTTGGCAATATGATCAAGAGAACCGCATTTAAAGCAACCTTTTTCTGCAGTAGGTCACCGATTCAGATATCTCCACAAGCTTAAATTCACCGGAAACAAATAATTCCACAGGAAATAACAGTAATAATAAAAAACTAAATTAGCTTATCTAGAATGAACCTTTATTTCCCTGGCCTCTCCGCCGATATTGGGACCAGAGCTTTGCAACACTCTGACTAAAGTCAACATGTATACGCCGATCGTCAATTAAAGCATTATCCATCTGCACAGAGCAAAAGTCAAATTAGATTCAAATAGATTTGTCCCAAAGTAAAATTTTAGGAAAATAATAGTAGATCACATCAATCCCTCCCAAAATAAATCTTTGGTCAACAAGTACACACATATTCTCCCTCTCATAGACACAGAAAAGGGAAAAAGAAAATTCATACTTGACAATATACCTTATGATAAGCCTGTTCACAGGCCTCTTTGTCTTCAAACTCTGACAGAAAAAAATCAATGAAAAACTATTAATGAAAGCATATCATTGGGAAATGTTTATTATTAACTTTAACAAGGACACAAAAATAGAACTCACCAATGAAAGCATAACACAAACTGTCACCCGTTTTATAATCCCGGATGATATCAGCGCTGGCAAAATAGAGTACAATTAGAAACACTTCTTAAGACAAATTGATCAGAGAAACAAGTTAGCACGGAAACACTCACGATGTCACTGTCCCGAACCGTGAAAAAATGGTATGGAGGTCCTCATCCTTCAAAGGAGCAAAAAGGGAAACAAACACATAAATGGCTTTGAATCATGAAATGGGACTCCAATGGAACATTCCAAAAACACCCTCATAAGTAAAAGAACCAAATGTAAGAGGAACTCACTTCGGTTACTGGATTTAGCTTGCAAACAAACAACACATTATCTGGAGGCTTGATTTCAGCCTCAGGAATGTCCCCAATCTGCCATATAAGAGCGAGAGTTAGAAAACTTAGAACTGTTCTATATCTGGATAAGAAGAAAAATATGAATACAGGTGAAAGTTTGATTTTGTTGTTAGCATATCCTTACACTTTCAAGCACTACTGCTCTGGAATGTGCTTCTTTTTCACGCAAAACTTGCTCTAGCTGTTGCGTATCTAGGGTCTCATCCATTGGCACCCAGTCATCTTCGAGTCGAACATCATCATCAACCTAGTTAGAGTTAAAAGGAAATAAATGGAGTAGAATATAAGACGTTAGCATAGAACAAACTTGTATATATGACTGAAGTTGAAAGCAAAAAATTCTACGAATCTCCTTTCCAAGACTACCACATGTATCGTCCATGGAAAAGAATCCACACCAATTACTTCTTTTTGGAAATCAAAAGGACAATCTTAAGAACTATCAGGAAAGGATTCCACCTTTATACTTCAGTATTAATAGTGTTTTGGAACCAAACAAAAAACCATCAAAATAAGTCCTTCCCCCACCCCCTCCCCCTGTAGCCTGCAAGTAAACATTACATATCAGTTACCTCATCTTTTGGCTTTCCTTCAGGTGAAGCATCAGGTATTAACTCAGATAATTCCGGAGGATCATCAAAAGGATCATCCAGTATGTAAGTGTGCTTTATCCTGCACATAATATTGCATACATAGCCAAAAATGAATCAGCAGTAAACAAGAAATAAGAAACACACACATTGACAGGGAAAAACAGAATTCAATGTAATACAGAAGTAGAAAGAAACCTGATATTCTTATAAGGCCTACTTTTCACATCCACATAAGCTTCATTTATCCGAGTAAGTGTCTCATGACCTTCTGCTACCTCCCCAAAGACCTGTGCATCGAGGTTTATGAAGGTAATAACATAAATATTACAGTTGAAGAATTTATTACCGAAGACTTCAATGTTACACAAGGACATCGGTAGTTGTGCATATATCTCAGGACTCAACAATATAAGGATCCAGCTGAGAGTACAACTCTGAGTGTGTACGCAATGGCTAGTACCTTTTTGTTTATTTTTTGTGGATATGAAGGGTGAAATTTAATTAATAGTTTATCATATCTGCAGAAAAACACGCGAAATAGACAGTGCAAAAATGTTTTTCTAACTTATGGCCCTTGCATCCTGGATTGGTCTCCTAAATAATTCTAATTCCTAACATAAGACAATGAACATCTTCATTTAAAAATGACACGGAACCAATTCATATCTTAGAACATACTAGACATCTTGAAAGAGGTGGCAAAAATATTAACATGGTCTACGTAGGATATAACCGAAACATCATAATTAAAATGAGAGTACTCACTGTGTGCTTCCCGTCGAGGTAGTCCAGATCATCACGCAATGTTATATAGAACTAGGAAGTTAAAGGGGAAACCAAACAAAGGAAGAAAATATCAATATCGATATACAGGTGTACTCACAAAGCTGGGAAATTGGATGACAAGAGCTCCATGGACAAAACAAGAAGGAAACATATGAAGAGGAATACCTGAGATGCATTTAGATTCTCCCCAGCACTAGCCATGGCAACTGTGCCAGTCTTCAAATGCTTCAAATCCAAATGGATCTCATCACCGAAAAAACGAGCTTGCTCTCCATATAAAAATCTGAAAAAAGAAAGTTTAAGATTCATAACTAAAAGCTTTATTCAGTAATCAGCTTCGCATTCCTTAAGTACAAAATCAAGCAGCAATTCAGTCACTGTTATGTTTGCCTTGTAAATCATGTTTTCAGTTTCCGAATTATGAAGTTCATACGATTTCATATAGGGTAAGCCTGAGTTTGCAGTGCATAGCGAGGTAATTTCGGTCAAAATAATTTGCAACAAGCAATTTTACAAGCAAATCAATATTAACTTTAAAGCTCCCAATGCCATCATATTACAGCTGCATCTAACTGAAGACTACATTAGACAGCAAAAAAAAGAATATTGTCTGTTCTCCTTACTTATACACAGAATCACCACCAGAACCCGTTCCAGTAGGATCACCAGTCTGTGCCGTAAAATCCTTCTGGACCGTGTGAAAGAGGCAGCCATTGTAATACTTGATCCTGCAGAAAGAAGAGGAAATTGCTTACAGATTCGTCCGTGCAACAAGCAAACCAAAAAAATACAAACACTAAGCTTTCTTTCCAAAATTAACGGGAAAAGGAAACACACAGATTCTTCCACCGATGAACTCATTCCTCTGTGAACTTTCCAAGTCAACTGAAAAAAGCCGCTCAGACTAGGTAGGAAGTCGGGATGTTATTTGGAACTGCAGACAATATTTCCATAGGGACTAGCAGTGTGTGACACAATAAGAATCGTATCCCAAAAATGACACGGATAAACACAAACATGACCGGTTCATATCACGAGTCACACACCATACAAAGAATTAGTCACAAGAAAACGTGTTGGATTATTCTAGTGTCAACGGATTATCGATGTGGAAACTTCCTACCTTCAACTAGCAAACAGAAACATGACCGGAATTCAGCCCTATGTGCAATCACATTACTGTTGTGATTCCCACCACGATTCAACTTCCTGATGTAAAATTAAAAGTCATCCTACAATGCCCAATTACATATCCCAATTTCTTTAAAAACTAAAACACAAGGCTCGATAAGAAACAAAAGAAGGCTCAGAAATTAGCTCATACGTGATACTTTTTTAGCTATAATACAGCATGTCATCATTCAAAATACACAAGTACGCATGCATGAAGCAAACATATTTTCGCAGGAAAAAACGAGGGAAAGTGGAAGAACACTGAATTACTGTACATACTTGCAAAGCTTGAGGAAGTTCTTGCAAGTGAGAGGACATCGATCGGTGAACAAATCAATGACTAAATCTCCCAAGCTCGTCACAATCATCACAGACATTTTTCTCCCAGATTTCCCTCCTCAAAACCCTAATTCACTTCGAGATTTAAGCGAATTCGCTGAAAGCAATTTGGGGGGAGGAAGATTTTTAGAATTGCATATTGCCATTTGTTATTTGGGCCGATGGGCTTAAAATACTCCTCTAATCTATTTGGGCCGTCTCCTCTTTCTATTTTACTCCTCCTCCTTCGGACTATTTTTTCGTCACGTACAACAGAAATTACGGATTTTCATATTGGAAATTGGATTGAAAACGCGGCCAGCAATTGTAGTTTGAAGCAGATAAGATTTTGACTTTGTGTTACTATTATTTAACAGTAATTATGTCCAAATTTTATCTCTTTACTGAATTTTAGAAAGATAGGCGGCTGTCATTTCCGCGAAGATTCCTAAGAATCTAATGATTTTACGAATGATTTAAGGAACGTATTGGGCGATTAGGAAATTTTATCAAAAAATTGAATGAAGATTCTCTTCTTTCTTATCCTTTATCTTCTTGTCTTAAATCCTAATTTCTGTTCTTAATTTTCTTCTTAAATTATTCCCTTTTCTGTCCTAAATCCTCTCAATTTTGAATTTAACATCTAGAATCTGGAATTAATTTCCCCATATTGTTACATTTGGTATCCCAGAACCTTGTTCCTCTGTCTTGTTATGATAATATCTGCAGTCATCAGATCTCAAACCGCCACCGTCAATGAACATAGCAAAAGATTGGATCTCGGAATAGATTCCATGGAAAAGAAGGTAGATGAGTTTAGAGAAATGAAGGGTAAGGTCGACGAATTGATGGAATTGAAGGAGCAGATGAATCTCATGACGGAGGCGTTTCGTTCGATGCAGGCAACAAACAAAGGGAAGAGCGTGATCGGAGAATCCTCTGAACCACCAGAGCGTGGAATACTTAAAACGCTGGATAACCAAGTTAAGTTTCAGGAGGATGAAATCGTCCAAACGCCTACCAAGGAAAAAGTCATTTCTTCCACTAGGATCATAACGGCCTCTGAGGATCAAACTCCACAATAAGACCGTGGCAATAGAACACCGTTTGTAATGTAACTCATAATTGAACTCACATACTTCAACAGGGAAGATCCTAGAAGTTGGGTGAGGAAGTGTCACAAATATTTCAATTTCTATGAGATTAGGGAAGATCTCAAAGTGGTGGAAATTTATTTAGATGGGAAGGTAGGAGTATGGTATGAAAGATTCAATCCGGGTAGAAGGACGTTGAATTGGAGAGAGTTTAGTGATGCTCTCATACGCCGGTTTGAAATAAAAGGTGGCCAAGATGAAATTGAGCAGTTTACCTAGCTCCTCCAAATTAGTTCAGTCATGGACTACATTAAAAATTTCGAAGATTTGAAGGCGAGAGTGATTAGACTGAATCCTACCCTTCATGGGGCTTATTTCATGTCTAATTTTATCAGCGGCTTGAAGGAGGAACTAAAGTTGGCTCTCAGACAAAAGAAACCCCCAAACTTGTCTTCACTAATAGATACAGTTGTCCTTCAGAAATAGGATGTAGAAATGCAGTTGAAAGGGAGTCGAAACCACTCAAATCCAGCGACGAAAGCCCCTGTTGTTGTGAGTAAGAACACGATTCCTACATTGGGGTAGAAGATTGGAGAAAAGAAAGGAGTTATGAATCAGTTCAAAAGAATCTCACCGCAAGAGGTACAGTATAGAAGAAATCATAATCTATGCTTTAAATGTGGTGATAAACATGTCCCTGGTCATCAATGTGCAAAAGTTTATTTTATATTGGTGGAGGAAGATGAATTAGAAAATGCTGATTTGGAGATTTATGAGTTGGGTGAAGATGAAGTGATTACAGAGGGTGTTAGGCGAATTTATTTAAATGCCTTGAATGGAGGGAGAGACAAAAACTCGATAATTGTCAGGGGTAAGTTAGGAGGTTTGTGATCACCATGGCCAATGGCTCTAGGACGCAAGGGTCACTCATTTATCCATCGGTTGCATGAGATATTCATTAATACAGTTTCACCTTCTATTTTAGAGTCATGAATTTGGGAGGGCTAGATGTTATTTTGGGTATTGACTGAATGTCTGAGTTCAGTCCTATGGCTTTCGATTATCAAAAGAGCAGGATTCATTTCATTCATGGGGATCAGCAATATACTCTATATAGGGGTGAAGGAGAAAACTCCACACTCAACATGGAGAGGGGAGAATATGTGAGGGGATATATAGAGGCAAAAAAGAAAGGATTGATGTGTAGTATGGCAATGATAGAAGAGGAAGGGAAAGTGGTCGAAGATGGGGAGCTACAACAACTTCCATAAGAACTGAGGGAATGGTTAGAAAACTTTGATAAAGTATTTGAAACACCTCATGCTTTGCCCCCAGAATGTGAGATAGAGCATTTCATTGAGTTAAAGACTGGAGCACAACCTTTTTAAATGAAACCTTACCATTATCTGCACGCTTACAAAGACAAGATAGAAAGACAAGTCGCTGAGATGCTGAAAAATAAAGTGGTTCAATACAGTTCCAGCCTTTATTCCTCTGCGGTGTTGCTGGTTAAGAAAAGAGATGGTGAATGGAGGTTTTGTGTGGAATATAGAAGGTTGAATGAGTTAACCATCAAGGATAAGTACCCGATTCTCGTTATAGAAGAGCTACTGGATGAGTTGAAAGGGTCGCGGTATTTTTCAAAGTTGGATCTAAGGTCATGCTATTTTTAGATCCGTATGAGACCTCAAGACATTCCAAAAACAGCTTTTCAAGCACATCACGGTCATTTCAAGTTTTTAGTGATGCAGCTTGAGCTCACAAATGCTTCGTTCACATTTCAGTCGTTAATGAACCGCATATTCCAGGATTTGATCAGAAAATGCGTGCAGGTATTCTTTGACAATATCTTGGTGTATAGTACAACATGAGAAGCACATTTGGAGCATTTGAGAAAAGTACTAGAGATCTTGTCTAACAACCAGCTTTACGCTAACGCATCTAAATGCCTGTTTGCGCAGGAGAGCATGAGTTATCTCGGTCATGTCATTTCGACGGAGGAAGTTAGCATGGACCAGGATATAATCTCTTGCATTTTAGATTGGCCATCACCAAGAACAACCAAAGAATTGAGGGGTTTTCTTGGTCTGATAGGCTATTACCGCCGGTTTATCAGAGATTATGAGATGATCGGGAAACCACTTAATAAACTCCTCAGAAAAGATGTGTTCCATTGGGATTAAGAAGTAGAACAAGCATTTGAACGATTAAAAACATCAGTGACATCTACGCCTGTTTTGAAGCTACCGGATTTCTCCAAACCTTTTGTAATTGAGACCGACGCTTGTGATCAGGGCATGGGGTGCCGATGCAGGACAACCATCATATCACCTTTCTCAACAAAACATTTAGTCCCCAAATCAAAGGTTTCGGTATACAAAAAAGAATTACTCATCGTAATCATGGCTGTTACCCCTTGGAAGCACTATATAGAAGGACATCACTTTATATTGAAGATGGACCATCAATTATTGAGACACTTGTTGAAACACAAACTAACAACCAATATGCAACATAAGTGGTTGGCACGATTGCTTGGACTCGATTACGAGATTTTGCTATAAAAGGGAAGCAAAAACAGAGCGACTGACTCACTGTCCAGGCTTTACAAATAGGAAGAAGAGGTGACCCATAGTAAAGCAGTGACCACCATACAACCTAAGTGGATGGAGGAAGTTGAATCGAGCTATGAAAATGATCCTGCAACCAAAGAAATCATAACCAGGACCACCATAGAGCCAGATGGGTATTCTGATTATCAGTTCACTGCCGACTTACTCAAGAAAGGTGACAAGTTGTACATCAGTTGCTCCAACAACATTAGGCGAAAAACAATGAAAGCCATGCACTCTTCTTCACTGGGAGGGCACTCAGGGCAAACTGCCAGCCTTAAGAGAGTAAATTTATATTTTTCTGGCCAACTTTAAAGGAAGACGTGATGGAGATGGCAAGAAACTGTGAGGTGTGTCAAAGGAACAAACCTGAACACGTTCCTTATCCAGGGCTGTTGCAACCTTTGAGCATCCCACAACAATCTTGGAGGCTTAGCATGGATTTCATAGAAGGTTTACCAGTTTCATCATAAAGGAAGAACTCAATAATGGTGGTGATTGATTGATTGACCAAATACAACCATTTCTTCGCACTCTCACATTCATTTTCAGCTTCTGATATTGCTGAATTGTTCCTCAAAAAAGTGTACAAATTGCATGGTCTTCTAGAGTCGATTGTCAATGATAGGGACAAGATATTCACTAGTTGTTCTGGCAGGAGCTTTTCAAGTTGCTAAAGGTTCAATTAAGTATGACCACCTCCTACCATCCGCAAACCGACGGCCAAATAGAGCGCGTCAACCAATGCTTAGAGACGTACCTCAGATGCTTTGCAAGTCTTAAACGTTCCAGCTGGTGTTTTTGGATTTCCTTAGCCAAGTGGTGGTACAATACTACTCATCACAATAGTATAAATATGATTCCATTTAAAGCCCTTTACGCCTGCAAACCTGTTCACATTCCCTTGGGACCTTACTACGATGTGGTAGTTCCGGCAGCTGAAAACATGTTGGAGCAAAGGAAGCTGGTTTCACAATTACTCCAAGAACAACTCAAGAAGGCTCAAGCAAGGATGAAGTTATTTGTTGACAGTAATAGAACTGATCGAAGCCTAAATGTCGGGGATTGGGTATATATGAAATTGTAACCTTATCGGCAGCATTCAATGACTCTAAAGAACTCTCTCAACCTTATTTACAGATGTTACGGACCGTATGAAGTGCAAGAAAAAATCGGCAGTGTGGCTTACTGGCTCAAACTCCCTGCTCATTTTCGTATTTACCCGATCTTTCACGCGTATCTACTCAAGAAGCACGTTAGAAAGAGGCCTGTAAGCACCAATGATCCTCCTGATTTAGAGTTGTAGGAAGAAAATATACTGAGACCAGAGGCAGAATTACAGAGGAGAAGTATCAAGAGGAACCAACAGACTGTGATTCAATGGCTAGTAAAATGGAAGGATCTGGAGCTGGAAGATGCGTCGTGGGAGGACAAAGACTTCATTGCCAACAGTTTCCCAATTTCAGAGCTTGAGGACAAGCTCCGTCTTAAGCGGGGGGATTGTCACGAACCGCAGAAATTAGGGATTTTCATATTGAGAAATTGGATTGAAAACGCGGGCAATAATTGTCTTTTGAAGCAGAGAAGACTTTGACTTTGCGTTATTATTATTTAGCAGTAATTATGTCCGAATTTTATCTATTTACTGAATTCGCAGCTGTCATTCTCGCGAAGTTTTATAGGAATCTAATGATTGCACGAATGATTTAAGGAGCGCAGTGGCTGATTAGGAAATTTTATCGGAAAATTGAATGAAAATCCTCTTCCTTCGTATATTTTATCTTTTAGTCTTAAACCCTAATTTCTGTTCTTAATTTTCTTTTTAATTTTTTTTCTGTCCTAAATCTTCTGAATTCTGAATTTGACATCTAAAATCTAGAATTAATTTTCTCATATCGTTACATTTTGTAGACAGAAAATATTTATTTATTTATTTTGGTTAGTCTTTCACAAAAAAAAAGTAAAACATTTTTTCTTTCTACAATTTACCTCTAAATCTACTTTTGGTGTTGAAAATATTAAAAAGGAAGGGAAAAAGGGGGGACTTTTTTTTTTAAATATGAATTGAATGGATAACAAATTTTATTTTGTAATTTTAATAGCCAATTATTTATTTTATTTTAGTCATGTTGTCTCGCGGTTAGACCTTTTGAGTTTTGATATGATATATATAGGTCAGAAGGAAAAAAAAAAACCCTAGAGATTTTATCGGTAAAAAAAGGGGAAAAAAAAAGAGGGGTTTCACAAAGGCTTTCCCTATCGTCCATGGATTCAGCTATACTAGCTTTTCCAATCTCTTTTACGTGATTTTGGTTTGTGGTCTTTAGGGTTTATGTATTTCCCTCCCCTTTTTTTTTTATATTTCTGGGTTCGCCTTTTTTCTATATCTTCCCTAGAGAATCAACCCTTTTCATTATTATTATGGTATTATTTATGGGATTTTTGTGACCCCTTAATATTGCTTTATAAATATCTGTTACCAGAAGTTGATTTTTGGGTTTTCGCGATAGATTTAAGGTGAAGACAACAGTTCATTTGATTTAGCGGAGAATTTTTTATATTTTTTTCAAAGTTTCGTGCGGTTTTTGATTTAGATTCGTTAAAGTTACAGAATTTTTGGGCTGTTCGTTTTTTCCTTGGAAAAGTCAAGTGTGACGAAGTTTTGCTGTTCTTCATTGAGCTGAAGAACTTAACAGTTAAGTCTCGAATCGCAAAAGAAGAAGAAAAACGAAAAAAAGAAAAGAAAAAGAAGAGTTTTATGGAAAGATTTGAATTTGAAGGTGGAGGTGGGATCAAGAGTCCCTCCAACCCTCAGGATCTTGCTCAATTTGGTTCAAATCCAGCAGGTTGGTTACTAATTCATTTGATTCAGTTGCTCTCCAATAGTTTCGGTTGACTTTTATCTTATCTCTGATAAATTACTGAGTATGTTTTGCTGTGGTTATAGTATTGGAAGAACATTCAGTTGAACAAAGTTAAATTGCTCAATCTTTCTTTCTTGGCTTGTCTGGGTTTGGAATTAGTTTATTTAGTAGATTATGGGTATCATGTTGCCCAAACCACAGCATTGGATGAACGCTTAGTTGTTTTTGTATTATTTTCTTTTCTCGGAGTGGATGGATGATCTGTTTATCCATCATAAGCTCTGATCCTTGTTATTGTTTGTATTGAAAGCTAGGGTTCCAGTTGTTGTCGTGGCAGGACAAAGGCATGTAGTTGTAGTAGTTGGTAGTGTTTTGGGTGCTTTTGTTTATCTTAGTCAGTCATAATTCAGTGGCAAAACGCATCATAGGAAGTTAACACCTGGATTTCCAGTTCAAAATGTTTCACCTTCTATGATTTTGTTCTAAGTTATATGTAACCTGAACATTATAAGTGGAAGCTTTATGATGTGATAGTTCTTTGATTTTACTGTAGCTTTTTTCATCCTCTCTACGAAAATTTTCTTCTATATTTTTTAATGCCGTCTTCAATTTTTTCTCCTTGAAGTCAGTGAGATTATAATTTCTGAATTTGACTAGTTTGCAATGGTAAACATACTGCAAGCCCCGTGTTTTGATATTCAAAAGTTATTCCTTTGATAATTTAGGGAGTGAGGTATTTGATGCATCTCAGTATGCATTCTTTGGAAATGATGTGGTTGAAGAAGTTGAACTCGGGGGTTTAGAAGATGAAGATGATGTGATCCCTCCAGTTGGCCTCGGTGATGAAGAGTATCCACTGGATAGAGATGAGGTGCTCTTAAATTTTCCACAGCGAATGCTATCTTTGCTTCTTTTTAAATTTTATTATTAGAGTATTATTGTTTTTCTCTGGGAATTTGTGGTTGCACAAGCTTCAATTTGCTTTCAGGTAATGTTGTAGTGTGCTACTTTTTTGTTCTTCCCTAGGTTTTGGATTTTAACGTTGTGATTTACATGTACTTATAGTGGTTACTATTTGGCCTTTGTTGTGTGATTTCTCATTTTTATTGAGTTAGTCACTGTTTTCCTCATTTTCCAATTAACATTGCACTGTTCCACTTAGTGTAGATGTCGGATAGCTTCTCCTACCATTCTGATTTACGGATTAATCAACTCTTGGCTGAGTTCAGTTTGTCAAAATTTCAACATACTCCCGGGTTCTTTGATGACTTTATGGATTTGCCTGCAACCATGTTTTTTGTTTTTCCATTTTTTGGTTCTGTGAGGCACGAATGGAGAACTTCCTTATAGATTTGCTTGGATTGGTGAGGTTTGTCACTGGCATATTTCCACGCATTTTGTGCATTTGCACAGTTGTGTCGAAAAGTTGAGTGCAAGCTAAACAAAAATGCATGTTACCGGGACAATCATTTGCCCCCCTTAAATTCATTCCTATTTTTTCCTGCCAATTACACCATCAATTAATTTTTGGGCTCAGATTGGTTTTGCTTTGAAATGGTTAAATCATATACTCTTCCATCTGATATTAGTCTTCTCAACTGCAGGCTGATATTTTGGGATCCTATGGTGAAATCGACGATCTTGCTAGCACATTTTCAAAGGTTTGTGGGTCTCTTTGATTGCGGAGACTGTTCATTTGGATTTTCTGGAAGCTTTAGCATCTATACAGGGCATCTGCGATTTCCATTCAGTGAATATGTTTCTGATTTTCATTAAGATGCAAGTAGGATAAAACCTTGAGTTAAATTAGTAAAGATCGGGTCAAACTTGATGAGCCAAGTAGATGGATGATTTTGTTCAACAATATTGCTTATTCATACTTATGCCATCTCTTCGAGTGCCATATGTTTTCTGATAATATAAGATGACTCTCTTTGCAGTTGAATAAAGTTGTCAGTGGTCCAGGAGATGCAGGATATATTCAGGATAAAGGATCAAGAGAAAGTAAGTACTGCAATAGTGATATGCATTTATTTTGAGATGGATAAATCTATTCCTCAAGATGTACTTATGTTTATCTTCATCTTGAACTGTTCTTTATTAGTCACATTTTGATTTAGTTTGTCTTGGTTTTGCTTACTTTCTCACCTTGGAAAATTGTTTCTTGAACTACTGATTTTTTTTGTCTTTTGAATTTCTTGTTTTTTCTCCACTTTAGTTTTTGGTCACTGGATTATTTATATATTTGGAGTTATATATGGCAGCAGATTATGAGTTTATAATATTTTCATACTGATTCAGTTTCTTCTAATACTACCATGTTTTTTCCTAGACTCATCTGTGGCTGAATGGGTACAAGAGGGAGAATTTCGTAATTGGGAGCAGCAGCATTCATTTGATTCGGAAAGCACACAGGAAAGTAAGAGATGGTCATCACACCCGTATCCATCATCGGCTTATTACGTGGATCCTAAGAGTTTGTACAGAACATCTTCATACCCTGACCAACCGCAGCAATATCCGCAGCAAAATGTCCAGCAAAATGTTCACCAGCAGCACCAGCTGCAGCAAAATGTACATCAGCAGCACTACTCTAGCGAACCAATTCTTATACCAAAATCATCTTTTACTTCATACCCCCCACCCGGTGGTGGCAGATCTCACCAAGGCTCTCCCAGTGACCAAATCCGGCAACCAAATATTCCATATCATGCTGGTGGACATCAAATGCCGCGGTCTTCGACCAATCTTCCCCCCTTTGCCAATCCTCAGATACAGATGACTGGCTTACCTCATGGTTCACCTGCTGGTGGTAACATGCCTCAGTTTAGTCCTTCAGGCCTTGCCGTTAATAGTCGGCTGCAAAACCAGTGGTTGAACCAGACAAATATGTATCCTGGTGATCATTCTAATCTTCCTAATAATGTTTTGCAACAGCATTTACCTCCTCAAAATGGAATGCTACCCCCTCAGCTGATGTCGCAACAGCACAGGTTGCATAGTCCCTTTCAGCCACCCTTTGGCCCTGTACCTGGAATGCAGTCCCCATACAATCAACAGCATCTTTCTTCATCCCCTCAAATGGGCAACAACTTTGATGTGCTTGGATTGGCTGATCCTAGAGATCCTCGGATTAAAACAATGATGAAAGGTAGACTAGGCATGCGTTATTCTCAGGGATTTGATGTTAATAGTCAGAGGAGTGGCAATGGTTGGCCCCAGTTTAGATCTAAATATATGACCGTTGATGAAATTGAGAACATTCTGAGGATGCAGCTAGCTGCTACACACAGCAATGACCCTTACGTAGATGATTATTACCATCAAGCTTGTCTAGCAAAGAAAACTGCTGGTGCAAAATTAAAGCACCATTTTTGCCCCAACAGCTTGAAAGACGGAGCTCCTCGGCCTCGTGCCAGCACTGAGCAACATGCTTTTCTCCAAGTTGATGCACTTGGCAGGGTTTCCTTCCCGTCGATTCGCCGGCCCCGTCCTCTACTGGAAGTTGAATCCCCAGTTTCTGCAGGTGTAGGTGCCACCGAACAGAAAGTTTGTGAGAAGCCCTTGGAGCAGGAGCCTATGCTTGCAGCTCGGGTGACTATTGAGGATGGGCTTTGCCTTCTCCTTGACGTTGATGATATTGACCGTTTTCTACAGTTTAATCAACTAGAAGATGGTGGGGCTGAATTGAAACAAAGACGGCAAATGCTGCTGGAGGGTTTGGCAGAATCTCTTCAATTGGGAGATCCACTTGGCAAAAATGGTGACACAATTGAACGAACTCCTAAAGATGATCTTGTCTTCCTGAGATTGGTTCAGCTTCCTAAAGGTCGGAAACTTCTGTCTAGGTATCTTCAGCTTCTGTCTCCTGGTGATGAACTTATTAGAATTGTCTGCATGGCTATTTTCCGTCGTTTGAGGTTTCTGTTTGGTGGAGGACCGCATACTGATGCTGCAGCATCCGAGACAATTGACAATCTTGCCCAAACTGTTGCTAATACTGTGCAAGAAATGGAGCTTAAAGCACTTGCGGCATGCCTTGCATCGGTGGTTTGTGCTACTGAACATCCTCCTCTTCGTCCTATTGGAAGTCCAGTGGGAGATGGGGCTTCTGTGATGTTGAAATCGGTTCTTGACCGGGCAACTTATCTGCTTAGAGATTCCCACGCCTCTGGAAACTGGACCGTGTCTAATATTGCATTTTGGCAGGCTTCTTTTGATGCATTTTTCGGGCTTCTGACAAAGTACTGCTTTAATAAATACGACACTATTGTGCAATCATATTCTGGGACTGACGCCGCTAGAGCCATCAGCAAGGAGATACCCGTTGAACTCTTACGAGCAAGTCTTCCTCATACCAATGAACGACAAAGGAAGCTGTTGTTGGATTTTTCTCAGAGGTCGATGCCTGACAAGGTTTAAGGGAATCAGGGTGGCCCAGTAGTTTCTAAGTGTAACATGTCATCAATGTTTTAGTTTTCAGATGACTTGCAGCATTGCAGAAGACTTGTCTGTGACGAACATTGAAGAATCTATTTATGGAATTTGTTCCTGATATGCCTTCAGATTGGGGGGTCTACTGATGGAAAACCTGTTTATAATGCCTGCTGGAGTCCGGTCATAGAAGTGATGGAAAGCCTGTTTGCAAGGTAGCATTGAAGAATATTTTTGCATGTATTACTTGGACACTTTTTTCTAGTTTTTCCTTTGGGAGCTTATTTGGATGCTCTGTTCTGCAAAATACTGATGGCAATATGGATCTCATTAGAAGTTAGCAGAGGTGTACAGTGTTGAGAGTTGGTTTTGTACTACTCCCCAGTTCTTCATCTTACTTTTAAATTCAAAAGGAGGTGGGAAAAGTATTATTTATCTCCACATTCCTCCTTATAGGTGATGTTAATTTGGCAAATTTTCCAGTTCAGTGCGGTACAGTGCTAAATCTGTAGTTGTTACGAACAGTGGCTTTGAATGAATAAGCTCAGAGCAAACTAGCTTTTTGGTGAGCAAATATTTGAAACACTTCTCATTTCCGCTTGTTTGTGCTTATATTCTTAAGCTTTGTTATTCCTTTTTTGTGCCTGAATCCTGTGTTTTGTTCAAATCACATCACCTCTTGTTTTAAATCTTGGCAGTATTTATTATCATTTTGTTCGCCACCTGAATAAATAACTTACAAAATGACATTGCATATTTGCATCTATCTGTCGAACCCTTAGCCACCAGCACCAACGGAGTGAGAGTACATCTTGTCTTGGGGTAAGTTTATCGTCCCAAAATATAGTTTTATCACCTGGTTAGCCTGTCTGAACAAGTTGAAAACAAGGGTTAAAAATCGGCAAATACGATCCATTAATTGATAGTAGATGTCTATGATGGAGGAGGAAAATGTGGAACATATTTTCTTTGAATGCCTTTTCTCCACACAGATCATCACCAAAGTTATGGCTTTGGTTGGTGTAGAGGTCTTGTCATTACATTGGCCCTCATTTAGGAATGAGCAGTTGGAAAAATATGGCTCAAGTTCTGTACGTGATGGTATTACTAGAGGGGTGGTGGCAACTGCAATTTACAACATTGCAGAGGTAAATAATGTTATTTTTTATCAAAAGAAAGTGTTTGAATCAGAGGTAATACATAGTATTTCCTTCTCCTTAAAGATGAATCTGTCCAAGATTACTAAAATGAAGAATACCTGCAATAACAGGCAATGGTGTGAGCTAATAAATATTTGCCCAAGTTCAATTGAACAGATTAGATTTTAATTTTTTATGTGGTAATCTTATTTTGTACTGATTAATATTTGTAGCAAACAAGTATTCTAGGTGTAGTGAATTTTGGAGAAATATTGCGATTGTACCTATAATCATTACTCAATAGAATGAAACTCAACTTTCATCAAAACAGATGTTCTAATCATTGATGTTCTTTTAAGAAAAATGTTCTTGCACACACGATACGAGGTAAATTCTTGTATTATAAATGTTCTGGTGGTGCTATTGACAATTTGGAAAACTCAATGATCGAGTTCGCTAAGTTAAGTCATTAATCAATTTGAATTCTCAAATTTCCATTGGATATCTTTTGATTGAAAGCACATTTTCAACAACTAAATTACAAGATGTCATTTTATTCACGTCCACAGCAACAACCAAAGTCAAAATTGTTAACAATGTATCATCATAATACTCACAACTAGCGAGGAGTGCTTGGGAGAAAAGCTGTTAACAATGCCAAGCTTTGGATCTGAGACGTGTCTCTAACTCTCTACAATTACACATGGGAGTCAAAATAACATTGTATCTATCTGTCACAAGTCATGAGAGGGAAAATGCATAAAAAGATTCAGTATCTAGTAACCGCAAAACCTCTAAATAACCTCATCATAAAAAAGTTAAAATAAAATCGTATTCTGATGAACTGAACATAACGGATTTCTATGGACAACAAAATCTAATTTCAGTGCTAACTACCGTGATATCACATCAAATGCCTACATTTTCTTTTTCTTCTTTTCTTTCCGTGACAAACAATTATTTGTTCTATAATAGTCGAACAGAAGCAGCACGCACCATTTCAACAATATCCTCACTGAGTCGATCAAGATCACCACTACTCCGTAGCTGGTTATACAATGGTGCCATGTACATTGCCATGGTTTCAGCTAACTTCCATTGAGACAAATTAACAGCGGACTGAATTAGCCCTACGGATATATATCTGTCGGTTTCAAGGCCAGATATTACAACTTGAAAGCATTGTTCCTGAAGGTCTTGTTCAAGCCAACAATCAGAGAGCCAACAAAGCTCAACGTAAGATCTCAATTCGTGAAGCTTCTGATCAAATGTTAGATTGAACCACATGCAATCGAACATGGGTTTTGGCAACTCATTGGAATACAGCCAGGCCACAAGTTTACTTAATGAGTCCCAACAAACAGGTACTTTGATTGCTTGTGAACAGCTGCAACATTACACAACTGCAATTCAGTTCCAGATATGTATCAAAGATGAAAATTGTTACATTCTTCAGCATTATGCGTCTGTGAGTGGTCGTGGTTAGGTGAATGTTTAATGGTATGAATATCCAAATAAGAAGAATTAACTATCAATCCTAACTTTTGCTTTGCCTTTACCCCAAGTGAAAGACTAGTGAACCACCACTTCTAACCATAGAGTCAAGAAATACGCATAACTAAATTAATAGCTGTGGTTTTGATGTGTTACATATTTGCAGCTCCAATTGGAAGGAACTAGCAAGTAAATGGTAAGAGTAAGGAAAAGCTGTACTACTGCAACATTTTATGAAATTATTCTTGCTAGGATCAAATGAGAAAGCAAAATGAGACAGAAGTTAACTCATTACGTACCTTTCTTGCATTCCTGATTGAAACAAGGCTTGCAAATGATCACAAGTTGAAACTAATACAACCTTATGTGCGTGAATATGTGGAACAGATGAGGAGCAGAAATTGCATCTCCACTGCGGCAGCTGAGTTGTATCACTTTCAAGGATAACATCACTGCAATGTTACATTACAACAAAAAGAGTGAAGTTACCAAAGCGTTTCTGGCTTCAAGACGAAATCATTTCACTTTTCACAGTAAAAGCAGTCATTTCCAAGTGGACAAAAATGACGGAGCAATATCTTTGTATTCTCAACGTCACTTTTATCCAATGGAGGAATAACACTCTCTACCGTGAACACGCCTTATGTCTTCAACCAAAAAACCAAACAAGTATAGGGGATGAATACCCCAAATTGCAGTTTGTTAACTTCTCACTGCATTTAACAATTAATCCAACAAGAAATCAGTCCTAAATTTGTAACATTGCTTCTACTAGACAAAGATATTACATTATGTAATGGATGCTAACTTGAATGGACAGTAACAAATAATAAAGGAACAAGATTCTTACGACGAATTGTATCCAGCTAATCCAAGAGCAGAACTAAGGTCAAAGGTTGGGACAGGAGAACCCCATCTGGGGCTTTTCTGATTAAGTAGGTGCAATAGAGGCTGCAAGTTGCAGTGCTTGACTAAAACTTTCAAAGTTCTCACATCTGCACCGGCTTGTATGTATCCTGAGTACACATATTCCATCAACTTATGCAGTGATTTATAATCCACACGAGAAGAGAGACGAACTTCTCTACTTTTCTGTCCTACTGAAGAACAACTGATAAGATGCTCTTCTCGCTGATGAAGCAATTGTGGACATCTGGCTGAAAGAATAACTTCATGAGCATGTAAAGAACATTGGTTGGCAAAAATTATTTCCAGATCGGTAAGCTCATTTTCCTTAAATGTTTTCCAAATCCTTTTCCCTAATTTACTTGGAAAACCATACAGCCCGAAATGACTTAGTGTAAAAGCAGCGTACCATCTTGACGCAGGGGAGTAACGGTTATTAGAGCATACGTCCTCAAGTTCTTTAAAAATCTTAGATTCACCAAGCTCTGATTTAATACCAGTGGCATCACCACGAGTGGCCGAATTGTGTATCAACTGAGCTAAGCCCCAAAGACAAAAAACCAATTGCATATCTTCACCGTCCCAGTCTCCAATGCATTGACGGCAACATATTCTTTCGGTCAAAGGATGATTGAGATGAGGTTCAAGATTGGACCTTTTCACATAGGTGGGGTTGTTAAACCATCCCTTTAAAAAAGCCAACAGAGTCCCCATTCCGTGAAGTTCAATTATTCGCTTTTCAAATGTGGGTAGACTAGTATAACAGGCCAATGTTATCAAACTTATGACAACTTGAAAGTTGCTAGGCAATAGATGTGTGTTTTTGTGGGTGGTGGAACGCAGGATACCTAATAAGTAATCAATGTTGTCCTTACCGAAGAACTTCAATACCTCAGATAAAATGATCCTGGCTTGAGAAGCAATGTGCTTGCAAGGTGAATAAACCATCTGGAGAACTGCTCTTGATGATGATTCTCTCCCATCTGTGTCGCTAATTGTGCTTCGAGAAATCTGGCATACAACAAGATTAGATTCCATAAAGGCCAAGCTGCCAAGAAGAAAAACAATGGGAAAATTAGGTACATTGGTCAAGGTTTGACAAACTTAAAACTTAGTGCAACAACATAGTTGATTTTACAATGTGAAAACCTTAACTAACAAAGGAGGCTAGATATATATAAAATTGATTCAAGCATAAAGGCAAGGACTAAAATTCAAGTGATATTACCATGCACATGTAATGAGGATGTTCAGTTCAAGTGTCAATTCATGCATAGTGCGGCATAAATCTTCAGTCATGTTCACTAAAAGGCCCGCCAAGATATCCCAGACGTATGGTATCAGGGAAGAAAGAACACTATCTCTACGACCGCCCTCCAATACACCTATCTGTTCCTTAAGGGATGCGTGATGCAGAGACTGGCGGGTTATGCCCAAATGGGCTAAAAGAATATCAAGCAGAGCAGTGTCAACTCTAGCTTTCCAAAAATAAGTATGATGATTCCCAATCCAACGAGTGATTTGAGCCATATGGCAAGCTTCCAGAACCAGTGACATTTGATCTTTACTAAGCTTCTCGGATGTTAACCATTTAAATCTCATTCCATTAACTATGGCATTGACAAGTGGCTTGCCACACAATTTCATCACTTCCGCACATCCTTGTTCACTGACCTTGGGAATCAACGAGGCAAATTCAATGTTAGTTGCTTCTTTCACCGCAGTCGGACAAACCAAAAAGTAGGCACAACAAGAACTCCTACCATTAAACACTGGGCAAGTCTAAACCCTTCCATCTGGATTGAATAGGACTCTGAGATGTTCATACAGTCCACCATCACTTCAAGAATGATTTTCCCATTACTCAGGAGCTTCTTGGCCCCATAGCCACAAAGAGCTGACATAAATTAAAATTAGTGTTTGCCCTGTAGTAAACAACATAGAATTCTGAAGGCGTGAAGTGACTTAATTCGGAAAATAGAAGTACCTAAGCTAGAATAAACATGCAAGACAGCAGCTTTCAACGAACTTATGGGTTTGAGTAAGAGGTCACCTAAAAAATCCCATAATTTAGAATCGTTCCAGGCAGAAAATCTAGAGGGAGGCCATCGCCACAATATCTGACTCAATAGAGAAGTCATTTCTTCATAATACTCGATGAATTTATCTTCGATGCAGGAATCCTTCACATTTTCTATAACAATATTGACCGAGTCTCTACCTTCCAATATCTCCCAAATTTCTTTCTCTCTTTTGCGACTAAGATTGGCAAAAATGCAATTCAAGGCAGTTGCACTCGAAACGGAAACAGAAAGCTGCTGGCTAGATAACAGGGGCAGTAAATTGTCAACTAGATAGGTGACGTGTGGTTCCAGCAACGAGCTCGGCAAAACACGCACCATCTTGGCAGCAAGGTCTGATGCTAACCTCAAAACTGATTCATTTTTAAACTCCAAAACACTTTCTAATGCGCCAGCCATATCATTAATAGAGTCCTGAAAACATAAGGGGTTTTGCACAAAAGTGAGAACATAAAGCATGGTCATCTACTAGCAACAGCATGGTTAAGGACTGATAAAAACAAAAAAGAAGTGCAGTTTGATGGTTTCAAACCTTTACGAGCTGATGATTAGACATTCTCTCACTGGAAACATAGTCAAGAAAAGCATCAATAGAGCGAATGACCACTTTCTGAGTTTCAATGTCCGCACTCGCCCATTTCTGCCCTCGGCTATCATCACATCTGCACTTAACCCAATGAATTCATTTCTGATGGGCACAAAAATGTACAGTATATGTAGGCAGAAATTCAAAAATTAGCTTTGCATTATAATAGAGAATACTAAATCATCAAAAAATGAAAACTAATTTAGAGGGTTTCTTCTTCCATATTTTCCTATTTTCTGATATAGAATAACCAAAAAAAATAAAAATAAAAAATTAAAAAGAATTCAAGAAGATCATTCATCATGCGCCTATATTCTGTCTCGCTAAATCAAGTAGGATTATACTGAATGAGTAGTGCATTCCAGAACTTTGATTGCTCCCTGGCCCTCTCTCGCCGCGATAAAAATATGCATAAATAAAAGAGAATTTCGGGAAATATAAACTATAGAAATTGGGACCTTAATCAAGGACGAGTAAAAAGAGAGAACTGGTGCGTAATTGCATGTTTACTAACCTGAAGAATTGACCGAGTTTGAGAGAGTTGTAAAGTCGTTCATGAAGTGTGGTCAGCCGACTGCTCAATACCGCCGCCGACCGCCGTTGCGACGGCGATGATGACGACCTCATCTTCTTTTTGCTTCCCTTCTCGAAGACTCAGTCAGACCGACTTAGGCGACAAGTTTCGATGATTAATATATTTGTATGGATGAAATAAATGACGGTGGTCGCCGTCCGTTCCCGCCACTGTAATTTTTAGTTACGGAATTACAGCTTTGGTTACAACACTTTCTTTTCCTACAGCGTCTGCGTGGGGACCGCAAGTTGCAATGAGAGAAACAAGACACTCGAAGCCCATTTCTTTTGGCCCACATTTACATATTGGGTTTACCCCACAGTTCCGGATATAAAGCCCATTTACAAACTCCGGCAAAAAAAAGAAAACTGGTACCGTGGTAGGGTTTAAGCAAACAAACAAAAGAAAATGAGGGTTTAAAGTTCTCCTTTTTATTTTGCAAAATTGAATTGAAGATTCCCAAATTTTTTTCCTCAAAAAAAAAGGAAAAAATAAGTGAGGAAGGAGGCATAGGAAGATGGTGATTAAAACGGGAGGAAACAGCTACGTTTCTTCGCCGCCGTCGTTCTCAAATGACGCCGGCAAGCTGCTTGTATGCACCGGCAACACCGTCTCTATCTTCAGCACCTCCACTGGCCTTCTCGTAAGTTTTCCCCACCGACCCACTTCACTTTTCCAGTTTCGTTGAATTTGAATTTTTTTCTTTCCCCACCTCCAAATAGATTGTAATTTTGACCGAATTTGGTTCATAACTTTTGCTGGTTTTTTCTTGGGGGCAGATGGGTGAATTGGAAGGTCACACTGCGTTGGTGACGTCAGTGACCGTGGTGCCAGCTGCCTCACCGGCGAAAAGGATGTTATGTAATTGTTGGACATCATCACTTGATGGTACCATTAAGTATTGGGATTTTTCTTCAGCTCCGGAGCTGGTCAAGACTATTCCCGTTGGCTATCCAATTTACTATACGGTACATTCTGCACCCTACTTCTTCATTATTTAGTTTATTGTTTGTTTTTCTTTTGCATTTTTCTTTCAAAACTGCATCCTTTATGACCGCTTTTTAAGATGGGCTTAGTTGTTGTTTCTGTTGTTGCAAATATCTTTGAATGTTTTTATTTATACCTGTATTTTGTGTGCTTGCTAGATGCTTGTCGGACAATGCATATGTTGTGGAAATTTTATTGTCTGTCAGAAGTTTTTAGATGAAGCCATGTTTGCTTTAGGCCACTCTGATGGATATTAGTTTGCCAATTATTTGTCTCAGGATGTGAAGATAACATTTTAATTATTTAATTATTTATTTATTTATTTTTTTGGGTGATTCTGGTGTTTATATATCTGTTAATACACTCAACTTCATCATTTGATTGTGCCGATTAGATGCACTATATGCATGCTTGTTATTCTTTGATGCTGCTTCACAAGCTATTTGAAAATTGGTGTCTGTTTTGTTTAGTTCCATCTGATTGTTACTTTTGCTGCTGCTTAATTATTTTGATGTGATGATAACATCTAGATTTCGTGCCTGTTGTAGGTGATACCTGGTATATTATGTGCACCAGTTGATGACGGAGAGAAACCACATGATATGTTTGCTTATATAATGACTGAAGATGTCAGTAGGTATGCTGGACAGCATAATTCCACATATTACCAGATTCGCAAGGTTAATTTGACCCAGTGTCGCTTATCTGGTGGTTTGATTCTAATTGAGGTTGGTTCGCTCTACATTGTGTTTTTACTATTGTTGCTAAAAATTTTTCACCTGATTGAAGAAAACCATTTTGATTTTACAGACATCAAAACCATTGCCTATAGCTGTAAGTCCTACGGGAAAATATATCGGCGTTTGCGAAAAGCAGACCCTTCATATTTGGAAAATCCCGAGGAGAGATGCCGATCGTGCATCGCTAAATAGAGTCAAGCTGCATCATACAAAGAAGCTTACCACCCTTGCTTTTCATCCAACAGAGCAAATTGTTGCAGCTGGTGATGTCAGCGGGAGAATCCTAATATGGCGGGGTGTTGGGAGAAAGAAGTTTACTAGTTCCAACGATAAATTGTCAAATGGTATCTTATCAATGAAAGATTCGGAGGAAAGGCCTGGTGTAAGAGGGAAGGATGATGCTGATTCTTGCACCACATGGCATTGGCATTCTGCACAAGTGAATCTACTTTTTTTCTCTACTGATGGTGCTTATTTATACTCAGGTATATATTACATATTTAGGTTGGGTTTATGTTGTTTCATTATGTGGTCCCCCCTGCTACATCATGCTGATCAAACTTTTTGAATTGTGGAAAGGTGGGCAAGAAGGAGTCCTTGTACTTTGGCAGTTAGACACCGGGAAGAAAAAGTTCTTACCACGTATTGGATCACCACTGCGATATTACGTTAGTTCGTCAGATCCTTCCCTGTCATCTGTAAGTAAATCTTCTCAGCTCCTTGACCATGTTTGGATTGTACAGCACTCGCTGAGCAAGATTTTACAGATATCATGTGCAGATAATATCATTCATCTGCTTCAAATGCCTTCGATGGAGATCCTGAGATCGATTGCTGGCATTAAGGTTAGCAATTTATAGAAGTCACTGCATTTTGTTAAATATTGGACCATTGTAATTCGTGCCCTGTACAAATGTTATATTCAATGGCAGTATTTGCTAATTTATGCTGAACTTTCAGCCTCCAAATTCAGTTCTGGAAACAACTGGGAGGCCAGGGTGCCCTGTAGTTGTTAATCACTCCAATGCCTTAGCTGCTGTGTGTACAGAGAGTTACAGCATCCAACTTTACAGTCTGTTAAATGACCGTGAAATTTCTGAGGTATTTCTTTTTTTTCCCCCTAAACTTGCCATGGGTTCAGCTATACTCTAAGTACCTGCTTTGGTTGAATGTTTTGTGCGAGCTAGACAAGGCTTACCTTTCCTAGTGCTGTAAATATTTTGGCAACTGTTGATATTTCATATGTTTGTAAAAGCTTTTAGTTCAATTTTCTATTGGAAAACATGCTTTCAATTTCATTCCATTGGTAGATGCATACAAAGTCGGCTCGTTTCTGTCATGTTTCTTTAATTTGGAAGTACCCTTTTCCACTGTTACCACTTGTTGGAGGAGGGGAAAGAAAATTCTCTGTTTTTGCTATCTTTGTTCATTTAGCATGCTCCATTCCATGACACAGATTGATGCTCGATTCTGTGATTTGCAGGTGCGAGTATGTGAAAGGAACCATCAACCAGGGGACGAAATTACGGTGTGTAAACTTTTCCCATTGGGATTGTACATATAGATTGGATGGCTTATTAGACAGAATGCTAATCTTAAGCCTTTATATATAATCATGTTTACATTCTATGATTTGCAGGTAGTTGTGAATTTGGTTGCCCTCTCCCTTGATGGATCAACCATGGGTACTGTTGAAACAAGGTTACCTGAAGAAGGAATAGGAGGCCTTGTAAGTCTAAAATTTTGGGACTCTATCTCTCATAGTAAAGAGTTCAGCTTATCTACAGTCGTCTATGAACCTCACAGGTTTGTAATGCTTTAATTTGTGCAGCTGTATTATTGTGAAATACCATTTTGTCTTCCCATATTAAATTTTGCTGTAACATTAAAGACCAACTTATTTCCGAAACACCAACTCATTAACATGATGTTAAATGCTGAATTTTATAGAGAAGCTGGCGTTTCGGGCATGGCTTTCCACCCGACACGTCGAATGGCTGTCAGCTCCTCATATGGTGCTGACTTCAAGGTAAGCCTTTTCCTTTAGATTGACTAAGATATCTGCTAGGAAGTCCTGTATTGACGTTTTGAATTTTCAGGTCTGGGTTTGTGGTTCGGAGGTGTCACAGAAAGACCAGAAGAATGGATGGACATGCCATGCTGTTGGTTCCTATAAGTACGTTCATAACTCATGTAAATTAAATTTGTTAGAGTTGGGATCTCCTATAGTGAAAGCCGTCCAAATTTTATGAGGACTTTGCTGCTCTGGTTCATGTTCTGTGAAACCCACTTTCTTCTCTCTTTCAGACAGTGCTGACTGGACGAGATTAGAAATGACTGTATTAGAAAGAAAGTGGGGGTAGTGCCAATAGATGAGAAAATGAGAGAATCATGGTTAAGATGGTTTGGCATGTGCGGAGGAGATCTGTAGATGGCCTAGTTAGAAGGGTAGAAACTGTAAAATCGCGATCTTAAATTAAAAAGGCTATGGGTGGGACCTAAAAGGACTTGGAAAGAAACTATCTAAAATAACTTGAAATATTTAAATTTAACGAAGATATGTGTGTTGATCAAGCGCAATGGAGTCCTATGATCTGTATAGCCGAACCCCACATAGTGGGAATCCTTGCCTTACAGTTTTCAAAATTTTCCTCTTTTAACATTTCACAATTCACATGAAGTGGTTGGAAGCTCCAATCACTTTTATCAGCTATGTCTCTTGATCTTGAATCTGGCTTCTAATTGTAGGAACAAGCCAATGACAGCTGTCACTTTCTCAGCAGATGGTTCAGTTCTTGCTGTTGCTGCTGGAAATGTTATTACACTCTGGGATCCAGAGAAGAATTTTCTTGTAGCTGTTATTGGAGAGAGTACTGAGGTGACTTTCTCATTTCATTGGCAATTCTTATCTTTAACCTAGGATATTATGGATTATATTTTGCCATGGTAGGACACATTTTTTAAGACTCTCATGACATTGGGCTGATTATTTCACTTAGTCCCCATGCTAAAACTGAGGAAAGAATTCTGCTTGCCGCTAAAAGTCTTATTTTTCTTTCTTTTCTGTTTTTCTTCAATTGATTCACTCTACATTCGTTTGCTGGTCTCTTACGTTGTGTTATATCTATCGGTCATGTAGCCAATCACATCTCTCTCATTCGTGGGGAAGTCAGAGTATCTGGTTTCTGCTTCCTGTGGCTCAAAACCTAAACTCTTCCTTTGGAGTATGGCAAAGCTTTCATTATCATGGTCTTACAATCTTCAAGCTGAAGGTTTGAGTTTCATTTTCTGTTACTTCTTTTGGAGAGCTGATCAAATTAAAACTGACTTATCTGGGGAAATTCCATTGTTATCTAATTTCATTATCAGCTATTTATGCCAGTTTCATAAAAAACTTTCTGGATGTTGTTTTGGTTTGTTAACATTTCTTTTTTTGGGCCACATTTGTAGCTGTGTCTTGTGCAATGGATGATTCCTTGTTTGCTGTTCTCGCTCGTCTTCCCTCATTTGAAAGTAAGGAACCAATTCAAGCTGAAAGTAAGGAACCACTTGAAGCTGAAAATAAGGAACCACTTCAACCCTCATTACAAGGCGCAGATGGGTCAATCTTGTTTTTTAAATTAGACAAAGCAGTTCCTGTCTCCGCATGGTTTGTCAAAAAGGTGCGAGAAGAATTTCTTACCCGGGACTTTTGATTGCGACTACCTGCAATCAATTTTAGAGTACTGAACAATTGTGAAATTTTTCTGTAGGCACAAGGTGGGACTCTTGCTTTTGTTCGTGGAGACTCAGGGTTCGCTGATGGCTGTGCTGAAGGGAAGCTGCCTGAATTTCTCACCTACATCAACGGGGCTCATGAGTATGTTCTTTTAGATCCATTTGGTGGCTGTGACAAAATTCTCAGACGTGTTGATCAAGCAGATAATCGAGTCGATTTTGAGGAGTCTACAAGTAAGGATTTTTGCAAAATGTGATTTGTTTCCTCAACTTTTGTACTTTTGTCATTGTTAAGTATCAACTAAGCAAAATGTCTTTCACCTCAGGAGGGAGGTATGGATACACTTCAGTTTATGGTAGCCTTCCAGAATTCAAGTTGGAGGCAGCAGATCAAACCATGGCAATTGGAGGATCCGATAGTAGGAGCTGGGAGAAAATTCTTGACGGGCCTTCGCATAGCCTTCCCCCTCTCACTAAATTATGCTCGGCATTTCTAGAGTCGTTACTAGAGAGAAGAACTCCAACTGTTCAACCGTGAACTTTATTAATAAGTAGGATTCCAAAAACTGACAAGTCGGATAAAACAGCATTGTTGACTGAAGACACGCCAACCATGCTTTACCATCTAAGTGGGAGGTCCCTCAGTTAGTTGATCATCATTTTCTTTTGGTGAAGATTGAGGAGGGGATGGCATCAAAAGAGACCGTTTTTGAAGTATGCCGAGATCGGAAGGTAAAGAGTAAAGAGGAGAAAAGGTGTTTTGATCCGACTGTATATGTATCTGAGCAAATGTAGGATAACTACTGCGACTTGGCAGAGTAATTTGGACAAGATCAACCCAATTTTGTAGTGATCATATTTATTGGTCTTCTTGTATTATCTCCAGATTGTTGGCGATTATTGTCATCTGTTGTATAAGACACCCTATGTGTTTTTTTTCGGGAGAGAATCCGTAATCTTACCGGCGATAATTGTGTCCAAATGATGCAGGAATACAACAATGTTTTGAATCTTAAAACAAACTGATATTCCCCTCCAGTAATAATATACCAAGGATGGTAGAACACTCATCATCTCCTCTTGCAGCAAGTACTGTAGATAAAGATTCACGGCTTTGATGGATGGCATATTATGAAGGTTTTATTCATGAAGAATCTCTAGTGGCAATCTTGTACAATACAGTGATTTCTTCCTCATTTTTCAGTCCAAGATCCGTATGTTATTTGCTTTTTTTTTTTTAATTATTTTTTTTATATATGAAAGAAGCCCGAGGCTTAAGTTACAAAGACCTGCGATGTACAAAAGAGGCTTTGTCTATACATAGTAAATCTAATGTAGAGGGTGGGGGTAACGTCAAGAGATGTTTCCCCGTTGGAGAAGAGAAGCCAAGTTTAGCTAACGAGGCCGCAGGTTTGTTTCCATTTCTGTGAGTGTGCAAAAAGTCCACAGTCCAATGATTTTTGAGAAGATGTAGTATTCTCCTAAGGACATTGCTAGAGCTGTCGTGGGGAGGCTGTTGTTGGTTGAGGAGTTTGGTGGCTTCTGCATTGTCCATCTCCAAAATCAACTTTCTAAAGCCTAGCTCCCAAGCGATTTGGAGGCCCAAAAAGGCTCCCCAGAGTTCCGCTTCAAGGCTGGAGCAGTATCCAACAACCCACTCACCTTCATGATTCCTTATCAAACCTCCTGCCGCTGCATGTTTGGAAGTCCAGCTGAAAGCACCATCGCTGTTAAGCTTGATTCAACCATCAGGTCGGGGTTTCCATGTTGAAGTAGATGAAGGTTTTTTGTGATCCAATCTTTGAGCAAAAATAACGTTGGATCTTGATATTTCTCTGACAAGTGCATAGGATGAGCCTGTAATTTCTCTCTCGCTGACATCCAGGCTACCAAGAACTTCATCGTTGCGTGCCTTCCATATTTTCCAGCAAACAATTCCAAACCATAGAGCCCAAATGCTGCCCTTCTGCAAAAAAGAAGAGTCAAGATTAAAGAAAATCCAAGTGTGCCAGTTTGATTCATACCAAAAGTCGCTTCCCAGATTTTGACAACAGTTTTTCCAAATTTTTCGACTTCTGCAGCAGTCCCTGAACCGCCTTTCCACATAGGTGGCAGTGATCCTCATGAGACAAGTGCCTTCTTTTCCTTTCCGCATTGGTGAGAAGGACTCCTCTGAATAACATCCAGAGAAAGGTTTTAATTCTTTCCGGGCCTTGCCATTTCCAGATTAAGTCCCAAATTTTGTGTTCAGGACTCCACCTGGAGACATTCATGGTGTTATAGGCTGATGTTGAAGTAAATTTCCTATTCGGTGACCCCCTCCAAGCCGGGGTATCCTTTCCCGAACATATAGATGGTGGAGGTATGGCTGTGATTTTCTTTAGAATATCTGATGTAAAGAAGGGTGTGATATCCTCCCACTTCCAATCACCTGAAGGGCTCACAAAGTCCTCCAATTTTCTGTCTTGCTGAGACACAGAGACTGGAGATGACGATAGGAGGTGGAGTGGTTTGTCTATGTCAAGCCAATTACCTATTTACTCACCAATTAAACTTACGTATAACTCCAATTTTTAATATATTAGACGTCTAACAACAATTTACTAACAAAGTTCGGAAGGATCGACCAAATTGTTTCCTCCTCCTCTGCCATAGATTACACTCAATTGAATATATAAATTGGTTACTAACTGCATCAGTAAACAGTGTCATTTATATATATATATATATATATATATATATAAACCTCCAATTGTTCTTTTCAAATTAGCACCCATATTTTCTGTGGAAGCAAGGTGGGAATAGTAGTAATGGACAAAGGGTAGAACCTTTTGATGACGCCTTTTGAGTCTTTGACTGATTGATTCGATACCTTCTTTTTTTTTCCAATTTTTTTACAGTCTAGGCCGCCCTACTCTGAATTACCATTCTCTACTTGCATACACCGTTGGCCTTCCTACTTCTGTAATACTATCAGACTGACAAGAGAGAAGTTGTGTATTTTTCTATTTTCTCTCACGTCTGAATTGTCATTTCTGACAAGGATTTCAATTTTCACTACAGAATTGTTGTTATTGCCTACTTATACGTGCTGCTGTAGTAACCATAAAATAACACTATAAAGAAAAGGGCAAAAAGAAAGAAAATAGTGGGGATTATATTGATGCATGCTCGATTGTTTGATGCATGGAAGATAGTGATTTAATGATATAATTAAAGTTTAAAAGCCACTAAAATCCTTGCCTATAATAAGAAATTAATCAGTAGGAAAAGAAAAAAAAAAAAAAAAGAGAGAAGGAACAACACAAACAGATGCCATATGGTTCTTAAGCCATCTTCAACAAGTGAATTTCAAATTTTTGGGAGTACAAAACATTCACAAGCTGGAGTAGTTTATTATTCCAGGAGTAATAAAACACAAGCTCATATATTTATTGGATTATAATAACTTCAGCATGCAAACAGCCTCCATGGAAATTCCAATTGTTGAGCTCTAGCATAAGATCTCCCTTTGCTACTTCAGCCTCTAATGCGAAGTCCCGCATGCCTCATCATCATATTCACATCATTGCCGTCGTCGTGAGGAGGAGCACCACCGCCGCCGCCGCCGCGGCGAGCAGCAGCCGCTGCCTGTGTCACCAACGTCGAGCAAAAATTGATTATTAAGATTGTATAAAGAATTAAAAACGAAAACAAATTTACAAACAAAAAAAAGAAACAGCACAATCCAGCGCGTACCCTTCTTCTTCTGAACTCTTCAAGTTCAAGCAAGAGCCATGTTTGGCCGCCAATTCGTACGGCGTGCAAAAACCAACACAAGGTTAAGATTCCAAACCAAGGAAGGAAGTCTGTCCCGAAATGGAGGGCGGCAATGTGAAGGGCCAACTCCAACATTTTCTCCCTAAACCTTGCATAATCAATTTGGAAGGCCAGTCCAATTCCGTCGGACATTACGGCCAGAAATACAAGGAAAAAAACTGACACCAGATTCACCATCATCAACTCTTTTGAATCCTCAAAGTGCCAATCGCTTGTGGTGAATGACTGGACTCCAAAATGGGGTATGAAACACATGATGGTGTTGTAGGATATGAAATAGAATGACTCCACAAGTACCTCTTTTGCAACTCTTCCAGATATTGTCCCATCCATCCACGTATTGAAATTGGGTGCCCAACCCAACAACCCCAACATGCCCAACAACCGAAAAACACCATGTATGATAAACATGATCATCACCATGCCCAAAACACAGGCTCCAATTTTCAGTAGAATTCCTTGAGAGGAGAGCTCAGCTTGCTGTAGGTCAACTTGATGGCTAAGTTCAACGAACTTCAGGAAAGGGTGCAAGATGAATGTACCAATGAAAGCTAACAGAGTGATACAAAAGTAAGTCATAACCAAATCCATCATGTGAGGGGGCACATCATCAATATCCATCTTTTTCTTTTTTTTCCCCTTTGTGTTTTTTTTTTAATTGAAAAAAGCTGAGAAGGTTTTGCTTGTAGAAGATGAATACTGAGTAGAAAGTTGCAAGATTTTTTACTTCCAACTGCTTCATGGATGTATATATATATATATTTGGAGCTGTCCATCAATAAATTTCTCAACTTCATCCTCGAGAGTCTCTTTTGTCCCTTTCCTTCTTTTTTTTCTTCTTCCAATCTGCTTTTCAACGTTAAAGTTAAAAGCTTTTTTTCGTTCAAATGTAGTGCCAGTGCCTCGGCAATGCAAAGGTTTCCAGTTTTGTTAATGTTCAACCATAGTGCCAGGGCCTTGACTGCAAAAGACTCTGTGTTTGTTACTTTTAACTACTTATTGACCGCAAAAGTTCCAGTCAAGATGATCCCACGACCTGGCCAAAAACACAGCAATTTGTTTCCAGTCACCAGCACAAGGACATGATGACTTAGACACACTGAAGCTTCTGCAATAACAAATTTTACACTGAATGTATTTCAGTTACCTCTCTGAAGATGCTTAAACCCTTAAACAAATAGTAACACTTAAATGCCAAAATTTCCCCTTATCTGTATTCTTCTCTAATTGCTTCATTTAAGTTTGGGGTTTGTATGTAACCAATATCTTCTTCAACAATATTTTAAATTTGACTCTATGATTTTACTTGATCTGTTTGGTAATTTTTGCACACGTTCCAAGACCATCTCAAGTAATGTTTCTCCCATTTTCTTCTGAATTGATGCTTCCCACACTTTCTAATCAACCAGCTAATCCCATCTAATCCAGGGCAAATCCACCTCTACCCCCCAGTGCCCTTCAAAACCTTCCAATAGAGGGGAAAAGTCACAGATAATGCAACACATCTGAGCTAGACTGTTCAGCCAAGGAATCCACTTTAATTATGTGTTACCAGCATGAATTCAATTCACTATTTCGGTTATGCCATCAATATTTAATTGTTACTTTGATTAAGTAGTAATACTTCATTGTTACAACAAACGTCCATCGAAAAATTTGATTAGATCGGGCTTTTCCAGGATTGAAAATTTCCGCAGCTCCCAAAATGCTAGTACTGCGTTTCATACCAGTGAATAGTCAAAATTTGGACTAAATGGGCAGACTGATGATTGCAGTTCCATACTTTACAGATACTAAAAGAGCTATCTAAAAAAAAAAGCCAGAACGAGTTGAGCAAAGCAACCAGATACTCTCTATTACATTGTATTCTGGGGGTTGACTCTTCTCCTGAAATCTTGCCTGTAATATGGAGTTTCGTCTAATGTCCTTCTAACGTAATCTACAAAAGGCTCAGGTGAACTAGGAGATTGCGATTGAGATCCTTCATCCTGTCTTCGCAACCTGCTGACCAACAGAGTCGGAGTTGACAGTGCAGGTGGTGTTCTCATCGGTGTAGCAGCATTGCCAGGAGATGATCGTCTTCTTAATCTTACACATTTCATGCACGCCACAGAAGCCATGCACGCCGCAAAAGCTAAATTAAGGCACAGCATTATCGCTCGCACGGGGGTTTCGAACCAGAAATCAAAAGCATACCTGAGGATATGTAAAATAGAGTCTACTTTCCTTCTGTTAGCTTCAAATCTTACATCCACCCTCAACCTCTGGCCCGTGGCTGGAAGAGTGACGATAACTGTGTCTTCAAATGTTGCAGCACCCGGACGAGCTTTAACCTCATACACAGCATGCCCTCCTTGGTTCAATTCTTTCAAGGGCGTTGCTCTAGCAACAGACAATTTTTTCAAGTGCCGCCAGGTGATTTTAACATCAGTATTGCCCACGATGGTTATACGTCGCATGCAAGATTCAGGGGTCATATATAACTGCAGGGTACGTGAATGTTCATCCTTCCCCAGAAAAGAAAAACCGCGCACAAAGATTGCAGATGCTGAACCTGAAATCCTGTCTTCCAATGATGACGCGGAGAGTGAAATGGATACACCATGATTCAAGTCAACAAATTCAGGAGCTTTCTGCACCAGTTGCTCGGGAGAGTGAGGAACGAAAGAACAATATAGCCTGCCTGTGATGGTATCTAACCATGGTTTTGCAACCCCAACAAAAGATGGGTACACCTGACAGTCGAAAAAGTCAGTTTTGCCAAACGTTTCACCACTGCGATTGTAAGCATCGACAACCTTCACAGGAAAGAGGTATCCTTTAACAGAAAAAGGATGTGCATTGGTAAGTATCTCATTTGGAGCATCAACGGTCAGAAGCTTGCCAGGCGTAACAGTAACAACAGCATGCAGTTTCAAATGCGAACATTCATAATATATATGAGTAGACCCTTCAGAGATGGCTGCAGCTTTTCCAGATAAGCTGTCAACATACACTATGCTGCTGTTTGCAGTAAACCAGTGACCTGAAGAAGCTTCATCAGGAAAAAGACCCTTTACGCTGAAGTTAAGATGGCTTCCCAAGCGAATTACAGGGTTGAGAGGGTAAATATGAGCACCAACATTTATTAGCATGTAGTCTGACTTCTGCGGATTATCAGAAAATGACACTCGGACAAGAGCTTTACCCTGCCCCTTCGCCGTAAGGCTGATTCCTCCGTCCATGTCTTGGAAGTTCTGTATGGCAACAACATGAGGATAATTTGTTTCAACTTCAAACCGAGCAGCATTGTAAGCCTCGTGGAAATGGTTCCCGAGAACATCATAGTATTGGATAGGTAAATGGTGTTCCGAACTGATAGCGAGTTTAAGAACCAAAGCATTCTCTGCCAGGAGTCTGATTTGAGCTAATTCAGCGACCCTTACACAAGAAGCGACATCAATTCTTCCAGTAGCCCTATCTTTCGCCATAATACAAGAGATATCATCAGCTTCCTTCGTCCTGATTGTACCTACATCGATGGAAATAGCACCACCGTCTTGAACCTCACCAAAACCTCTCAACAAAGAGTAACTGATCGTGCCTTGATGAATTGACGAATCCCTTTTGCTGTGAGGATTTGACGTTAAAGGCAAAAGAGCTGAAGAAGTATAATGGGGAGGGAGTATCCAGGTGACCGTGGATCCCAGAGCAAGAGGAAGATCAGGCACGACCCACAAAGTTATATGTGCACTATACAGCCTGGATTCAGAAAATGAACCAGATGAGACAAAATCACAAGAAAATGTAACAGAAACATCAGTTTTCCCAGATGATAATGCCTGCAATAGTTTAAGAAAACCAGTTTCTTCCTTGACCAAGCTATCAACACCACTTCCTAAACCTTGTGCATGATGATGTGTCTCATGAAATGTCAGCACGTCATTGTCTTCAATAGTCCACTTGAAATTGCTGCAAAGCTCGTAAAAGGAAAATAAGTTTCCCTCTGATAGAGTAGGAAAAATTGGCATATGGCGGCCCACTGCAAGCTTCTCACTTTGACTATATAAGAGGGCAGCAGAAGGAACACCAACTTTGATTTTGCCAAATGCCTGACAAATCATCGTATCTTCTTTCCCATAAAAGGTGGTCACCAAGGTCGTATTTCCAGGTGAAACTGCAAATACTTGCCCCAAAAATTTCTCAAATTTGGCAGTTTCATCATCCATGCTAGCATATTCAACAAAGGCACCCAATTTTGGCCCCCCTTCAACTCTGAGAACATAAGAAGCACCAGGTACAAGAAAAATCTCATGTGGATGTAATCTTGGAGGGGAATATACTTCCAGCTTCATTGATTGACTCACTACCTCGTGTCCAGAGTGCTGCCTGGCGCTAAGATAGAGAGTTGTAACTCCAAGGTGTGTGCCTCGTATGGTGAAATTGGGTGCTCGCACATATTTGTGAATATGGCCTTCAAGTTGATGATCATTGATGAGCTCAACAATGTCATCCTCAAAATGAACATAAATCTTCATGAATATATACTGAGAATAATCAAAAACATGCCCCTCGACAGTTCCAGCCACAAAACTAACAGATAACAAATTTCCTTGCATAATGCTTATCTCTTCCTGGGATGTGATCTTCATCCAGTCAATATCAGCAACTTTGACAACAGATGACGCAGCCACAGCAGGAGAAAGCCCAATATCATGAACCGTCACAAGCACAGTTCCTAACCTTTTTGGAGCCAGCATCAACTGCCGACACTGCAAATCTGGTGGTGGTTGGATGACATCTGTGATATGGCTATCATTCACCAAAGCCTCCAAAAAGCAGCTCCCACCCACAATTGAAAGATTCAAGATGGCATTGTTACTAAAGAACAACAAACTGTATCCAGGATGAACACTCAATGATGAAATAATTGACAAGTGCGTCGCATCAGTGAGAACAATTCCTGGACTACCAAACGGTGCAATAGAACTAAGATGGCTGACAGAATCCACAAATCCAGTAACAGTAACGCGGACAGTACAGAGTCCTGATGAGTTTTGCAAGATCAAATATCTCTCCCAACTGGATTTCGTTACCACCAAAGTGTATGCATGATCCCAGACTGCCAATCCATCACAATCTACAAGGTTCCAATTTAACTGAAGAGAGGATGAATTTCCAAAAGATTTTCCATCATCACTGATGGCAGCCGCAGATAATCTAATTGTGCGACCATTGGCAACAGTAATAGGAGTTGTACGTATTCTTCCTTCACTGCGATCAGCTTGAGCTGCAGATTCTATACATTCACGTGAATTTACAACTTCGTCAGCTAGGAGAACAATAGAAGATGGAAAGCTGCATTTAAGCAACACTTGGACTTCAGAAACAGCACGCAGAGGATGGTTGTCACCAATTAAATTTCCACGTTTGAAAGCCAGTTTGGAATTTCCCAACTTCTCGCACTGAATTCTGTATATTCTACCATAATTGGCATGTTCTTGGTGGTGGATTAGACCCCCAACCCCAACATTGAGGAAAGAATCGTTTTCAGTTAAGATTTCCACATTTTCAATATATTCAACTCCATGATCCCACCGCTCTGGCCCTCCTTTAAGAATAACATCAAAGTGAGTCCCAGGTACTAGGTGTAAAGAATCCAAATTCTCCAACTTGTTCGGAGCTTTAACTTCATCCAAGTTGAACCAGTAACCGCCAAACTGATTTCCATCGCTTACCTGAAGAACACTGAGTGGATTGTAAGAGGCAATTAAAATGGAGGCTTTCAAAGCAATCAATCCACCAACAGACTGGTCAATCTGTTGATACTCGTTAGTTAATGTCGCATGAAGCATTGCCCGGCCAGCAACAGAAGCATGCACACAAGTCCATGCACAAGGAGGTGAAACATACACATCAAGCTCTGTATACTTGAACTCACCAAAAACAAGTGGCATACCAGTCGAATTGATGATGGTAAACGAGTCACTTTCAATTTTCCACTTAATGGAAGTGCCAAAAGCATCACATCTGTCAAAAAAGGAACCATCAGGTGCTTGTAATGCTACAGAAGCTTGAATATGTGAACCACTCGGAATCTCGACAGGAAAATTCTGAAGCATAATCATAGAAGAAGGGATGGAAACTTCAACAACTATCTCGTCGAAATTGAACAAGTCATAAGTAGACACTGCTTTTATCGCAGCTTTGCCTGGTTTTTTGGACTGTAAAACTCCAGAAGCAGATACAGTAACGACAGCCATGTCTGAGGAAAACCACTTATAATCACTGGCAGCCACAGCGCAACCACCACCAACTCTTAGTTCCATTTCTTGATTTACTCCAGGGGCCCAGGGTAGGAGAATTCTGTTCATATCACCTCTGCCTTGGCCCGCAATGAACTTCACTTCATCGCAAACCATAACTTCTTGCACAACTTTAATAACCTCCTTTCTTAGGTCATGTCCATTGCTGTATGTTAATATTGCCATAAGTTTCCCAAGACCATTCGAATTGGCTTCTAGGATTCTAGTGTTTTTCTTTGCAACCACGTTATTTGAAGCTGGGAGAATATTCCAAAGTTCTGACTGGTCATCATCAAAAATTAAAGTATCATTGCTATCAGTAATATAAATTTCTTCGGCCCCTGGTCTTTGTGAGAACACCTTAACTTCAAGAAAGTATTTCCTGCCGGAGACAACGTACCAACGTGCCATAGATGGAATAGAGGGTATTCCTTCAATACAACTACCAGAAGAGGAGAGAGGTAACATGTAAAGCAGTAATGTATCCGGCAAAACAACATGTAGGGTCGATGTTTGTACATGATCAGCAACTCTGGTGTCTTTAACAATGATTGTTGTGGACCCCAGACTTATGGCATGAGTTTTACCAAGAGTCCTGTTCACTTGAACAACTGATGAGTTAAACGCAGACCACAAATGAAATGGAGATGGTAAAGATACCACCTGAGAAACAGCTCCACGGATGACATTGAGATTATAATCAACAACAGCTCCAACAAGTACAAATACAGGAGATGGAGGCTCAAGAGACATGGCTTCTGCAACAGTCAACACGACCTTATCTTGTATCTCCTCAAGTGATGGCTCGTTCAGATGAACAGAAACAATTTCGTGCCCAATTTCAATGCCTTTCACAACGTATAGGTCTGAAAAGGCACCACATTCTTCTAGTTTAACTTGAATATCCAGATCACCGCATAATCCTCCACAATCACTTTGAGGAGAGTCCTTAAGAGGAACATGAACGAGGTGATGGGGTAACCCTTCAGTTTCAGTCATCAGTTGCCACATAAACTGTAACCCCACCAATGAGGAAAAAACATTTTCTGCAATTTGAAAATAAACCAAGGATAAACGATTGTCATCAGGCACAATGGAAAACTCACTAAACAATCATCTAGGCTCTACTAGTGTTAATTGCATCATAATATGGATTAATTTCTTGTAAGAAAATAAACACAACCACAATGTGGCCAGTTCCAAGAGTTTTCAATTTCAAATTTTGCTTCTAAAATGACTTCGTACATCAGAATAGTTAACAGATACCATACATGATACCAGCAACCAGATTATTTTCAAATGATACTAAGCCAATGAGCACGTACTGCACTGATATGGCCAACTAACTCTAAAAAAAGTTGAAAACATATTGATCTAGCGGAAAAATTAAGAGACAATTGGACAAAGTAATTCATGCAATTGGGTACACAGTGTATCGAGATAGTACCTTCACTGTCAAAGGCACGGACTCGAAGACTGGCAAGTCCATCAAGGTCAAGCTTTACAGAACTATGAAAAATTTGAATTCTGGAGAATACATCAATGTAAACCTTGCAACGAATCACCATTCTGGTGTTCTGATCAGTCGCATAAACCGCTGTTTCCTTTTGCCCAGAGTAAGGAGCAATGGATTTTAAACGGGCACTTGTGCTACATCGGCTGCTAGAATTGTATTCGGGCATAACTGCCAAAATATCATGATGATCCCATGACCTGGCCAAAAACACAGCAATTTGTTTCCAGTCACCAACAGAAGCACATGATGACTTAGACACTGAAGCTTTTGCAAAAAGAAATTTTACAGTATTTTCCTGAATGTATTTCAGTTACCTCTCTGAAGATGCTTAAAGCCTTAAACAAATAGTAACACTTATGCTAAAATTTCCCCTCAAAACTTATATCTGTATTCTTCTCTAATGCTTCATTTAAGTTTTCGTAATCAATATCTTCTTTTACAACAGTTTAAATCTCACTCTACTATTTTACTTGATCCGTTTACTAGGAATCTGGTAATTTTTGCACAATTGCCAACACCATCTTAAGTTTGTTTCTCCCGTTTTTTCTGAATTGATGCTTCCCACACTTCTAATCAACCAGCTAATCCCATCTAATCCAGGGCACATCCACCCCAATACTCTGAGTTCTACTTAATACTTTTTTTTGTTTGTATTTAGTGCCCTTCAAAACCTTCCAATAGTCACAGATAATAGTAACACAACATCTGACCTAGACTGTTCAGCCAAGGAATCCACTTTAACTTTTCCTCTTCTTCTTTCAAAGCCAAACTCGTCAGCTAAAAGTTCCAACAAATTTGACTGACAATATCTATCTTTTTGGTTTTCTTCTGCTCACATTACTTCAGGCGCACAAAATAAAATTGAAAAAAAAAAAACAGAGCACAAGAATGACCAAAAACAAACCAGTCAAAGCATCCATCGGTTCCCTGAAGTCTGTATTCAACCGGGTACGTCATCTTCGGCGGCAACAAGACATTGACGTCGGCTAAGTGTGGCCCGTGAGAAAGCAACGACGACGTCGCAGCATCAAACACAAGACAGAGCACAAGAGCAACAAACAATGACGGCCAAATAAGCCGCCTCGTCGGCCGGCCTAAGCACCGTAGTGACACCATCATCATCATCGGGAACGTGTAAACGGGGTTCATCAGACTAATGCTTCCAAAAAGGTGGGGTTTTGGGAGGGCTTTTCTTTTTCACTGACCATTTTCACCTGAGTTATACAAACAAAGGGACACGTGGCCCAGGGGGACACGTTTCAACGCACAAGTCCTTAATAATGCTGTAAATAACTATGGTAGAATTAAAAAAATACTAGCTTAAGCTGAGCAATTAGCCCCATTATTTGTGAATTTGGAAGCTAGAACCTTTGGTTCTCTGTTATGACCACGTGCAAGACATCAATGTTCGGATTCAATATGTTGAGCATTTTAGTTGACCAAACTTGTCCGACTCTTGTGGAAGAAATCACCCTTTCCAATCTTTTCCAAACTCAAATCTTCAATCTTATGATGCAGTTCTGGTACACCATGGAAATACACTTGGTTTTAAAAAATATGCTTAAGAATTGGAAAAGCACAAATGCTTTCGCGGCATGAACTATGAATAGAAAAGATTGCAAAACGATAGACTTCTCTTCGTCTTACATTTAACAATGAGATTCTTCACCGTAAGTATTAGTTTTACACTTAAATCTGTAATTCTTCACGGTAAATTAATTTTATGATTTACAAATTCAAATATCTTTGAAGCAACTAGAAGAACCTTGTGAATATGATCTGAATTCTCTACTAAATCTTAGCCAGATTTGTCAGTAAATCAAATCTCCTATGTTTCGATGGCATCCTTTAAAGCCACCTGTAGTTTTCCACTGAAAACATGTATCGTGCCACGGTACTTCCTGTTTACTATACTCCAAAACGACAGGTTGGCTTCTTCCTTCTTTCAGTTGATGGAAATCAATTAAGCTCGACTTTAACCAGCTTTTCCCTCAATTTTGCATTCATATGATTTTTCCGATTTTGCAAATCAACACCAATAAAAAGCTGGAGTACTTCTAGCAATCTTTTCCATGCTTTGTCAACCCCTTGATTTGCAGCAAAATTTCAATATCCGACATAATTAAACCTTTAACCATGTCAATTCGTACCAGAATATTGGCCTCAGTGAAGTATAATTTGCATGTGGTGGAGTGGTATGTGAATGCCTCCCCAATTTGAGATTATGAAGCCAGGAAAACTCATCGATAGTATTAAGTGAAGTCATGCTATTACAAACCTTCTAAACTTAAACGATCCATACTTCTAAGCTATATTTCGCAAAACAATAGGGAGCATGAGTTCTACTAACAATAGGGAACAATAGTAGTAACTTCTCCAAGATTCTTTGATTACTATCCTCAGCCACCAACTCTCAACATTTTTCTTTCGATCTGTACTAAATGTTACGGTGTTATTCATTTGATTCACTAAAAGGAAAATACATAGATTGAGACAAACCTTGAAGTTTAGACTGTCCATCAGGAAACCAGAGATCATTTCGTGGTTTACATGCAACTTCCTACCGTTCCAGCTGGAGTACAATATCAAGACTGTAGGTTCCTTTAATGATCGAATATGTAGACATGTGGATACTAAGTAAATTATCTTTAGTAGTGCCCCTCACCAATAAAGTTTTATGCATAAGCAGCTACTTTATTTCGGTAAGGGAGTGAGCGAGCAAGCAAGAGATTGAGAAGCGCAGGAACATTAGTGTTTAGAAAAATTATAGCTATTCTGGTTTGAAGCGATTGCCTCGCCAATCTTCATCATAAGTTTAGGATCCCTACAGTTGAATTTAATAGTTAATCAGCCAACAATACATCGCAGATTCTAAACCATTCCTCCTGACTCAAGGTTACAGAACCTTGGAAAAAGTAGATGTCATGCTCTGAATGGAATAGAACACACTTGTAACAATATGAGAGAGCGAGACATAATACCATAGAATTCAATTCCATTAGTTCATGACCCTTTAACAACTCATTTGTTTGGCTAACTCAGTATTTGATGAACCAGAAACTATAACTCCCAATCAAAATTTCTCATGAAAACAAAAAAAAAGTGGTAAATAAAACAATGTCCAAAAATGGAATTTCCCTTGGACGAATAGTAGAAAGAGTTAATGGATATATATGTATCAAAGAAGCATAATTCAATTTTGTTAGAGACAAATAATCAAACACATAGCATACAAACACAGAAGTTTTCACCAAATTTTAGAGTTATGGATTATCCAACTAATCGATTTAAAAGCAAACAAATAGATTGCCCCTATGTAATTATAAAAAGACAGAGAGTATAATCACTATTTGAAATAGTAAAATTTTTATCCTAATTGATAACTTAAAAATATCGTCAGTGCTAGAGTAGGTCACAGAATTAAAATTCTTAAAAACTGAGCGCACCTTGATAGGTTCGGAGCAGCAAGAGATTCAAGGCACAAAAAGAAGATGCAAACGTCTAAATGTTTCAGACAAATTTAAGCAGCAGAGGAAAATGCTTCTTGAGGAATGAGTGAGTTCTTTCTTATCGAGGAATTCTTCCTTTGCTAATTCTTGAGAAACCCAACTACATTACAAATAATTATAGATTCTTTCGTTGAATAAATTGTAAATCTCCTAATATAAAGATGGAAAAGATGCGAGAAAATTGATGGGTAAATTGGTTTCAATCCATAAATATGGTTACTGATTCCGAAAATTGACGAAGAAGACAAAGTTGCAAATCGAAAGAAGCCGTGAAAGGTCCCAATAGATTCGTGAAATTCAATAGAGAGACTACACGTGTAATAAGAGTGACCGGACGCCATACTTAAATGGGAGTAGTCCGGTCCAACTCCTCCATTGATACATATATAGATAAACAGGAAAAGGCCTGACGTAATCAGGCATAAAAAAATCTATCCAAATCCTGACAATATCTCCTCCCAGAGACGCCGTATTCCACCTTCTAAGAACACCGGCATATAGAAGCCCGCCATTTTTATGGCCAATGCCTAATTAATTTTACAGTTACTCATTCAGCAGCACCAAGAAAAAAAAATTAATAATGGAAATTATCAACTTCTCCTCTGTACTTCTTCACAATCGGCTTTCTTGCCCCGCCGTCCAACTCCACCTCCGGCGGCACCGTTTCGGCCGACCTCGACCACCAGCTCAGAAGCAGCAGCCACAGCAACATCACCTACTTTCAACCACGACATCATTGAATTATCCAAACTCGTCCTTCACCTTCCCGGGACTGCGTCGCCACCCCTCGGCTCTGGGCTCCGTAATTTTCATTTCTCTTCTGATTTTTTTTTTTTTTTAACTTCTTTTGCAATTGGATTAAATGAATTTGTGTTACGTTTCTTGAAGAACAAAGAAAGATAGAGAGAAAGGAGGGGAAAAGAACAAAAAGTTCTACTTTACATTGTATAGATTTTTAGTGGCGGGGAAATTGGGTAACGATATTAACCTAATTACGGAGTATATATTTTAACGAAACTCATTTGTGATGGTTGATGACTCACTATTAAAAGATTTCAATTTTGTCGCCATGACATTTTACTTGGCTTTTATTATAGCTGTGGTTATTGTTTCTCGAAACGACTGTGCTAAATTTTCTGGGAAGAAATCAGGCTAAAATTCTGGTCATTTGATGTCACTTGTGTTATGTAATGACATGCTGTCAGTGCTGATAGAATTTGTATGATATGCTCACCACTGTGTTTTTTTTGAGAGTGATTAGGTTTACTATATGTTTTGTGGTAGTGTCAATCTTTTGTATTTGGGAGTCGATAGATGGTGATGTTAGTGCTGTTTTCATGAAGGAACCTTTCGCATTTTTATGTTGTCATATCACTATTAATATTTAATATTTTGATCTTGGTTCGTGATGCAAGTTCATGCCTCCAGTTTTTCTACTCTGTGCATTATAGTGAATACTGCATTTTGTGAATGTTGAATTTGTTTCTTTTGCTGAAGCAGTAGTATTTCACTTGCAGAATACTAGCATGGACACCGATGATATGTACGATGACTTGTTCAAGAAATATGGGAAAGTGGTTTTCACGAGAAATGATCAAAAGCCTGCTATTCAGGAGATCGAGGATGATGCTGAAAGCTTGTCATGTGCGTGATTTAATCAACTCTTGCTTTTTTCAATTACTGCTTATTATTAATCCCCAGCCCCCGGGAGTAATTATTTCAGCTTTATCAATCTATATGATGCAGCACTTCCATTATTTTTCAAAGTACCGCTCTCCCTGTTTTGTCTTTTGCTTGCATTTTTTCCTTACCCAGTTTTCTGGTTCTGAGACATATTATCTGTACTTATATATACTGTGCACACCTTGACATTTTTTGGTTGATGTGCAGTAGTTAATGTTTTCTAGCTCAAAATATGAAAATGCTTGCCCACTGCTTTATATGCTGATAGTTTTATGCCGGTGATGTAGTTGCTGTTGCCGCCGCTAAAGTGGCAAGTGAGGTGAAGGCCGGTGATATAAAAGTCCTCTTTGTCAAACCTCTTGTGTACTGGACTCGCTTTTTCATTATAGCCACCGCATTTTCTCGGCCTCAAATTGACGCCATCGGGTATGTATGCATATTGTACTTGCACTCTTTTCTTGATTACTGTAAATTTTTATATCAGTCGAGATTGATTTAGATGGCTTATCAGCATTAGTCCTGTGTTTGAATTCTTTGTACAGGACCAAGATAAGGGACATGGCAGAAAAACAATTTGGAAAAGTTGCTGCTGGGGACTCCAAACCTAATTCATGGACATTATTGGACTTCGGTGAGTGTTTCTTTATGATATTGTAGGGCTTTTTTAGGATAATAAGTGATGATTTTGAATCCTTTATTTTCAGTTTTTTGGAAATCTTGAGTGCTTGACACACCCTTGTCTTGTCTTCCATGTGATGTTGTCTTAATGGCCTCTTTTTCTTGATTAACATTTAGCCATTGTCTCACTCTCATGTGAAGGCAAAGGGAATGCTTAGAATCTACATTGTTCAAAGTGTTATCCAGGAATTTATGATCTTGTGTAACGTTTCATGTTCCAAAGGCGATGTTGTGGTGCATATATTTCTACCTCAACAACGTGATTTTTACAACTTGGAAGAGTTTTATGGAAATGCAACACAAATAGATCTACCCTTTGAAAGGTAACAACAATTTGCTAGAGAAAAATGCAGATGTGGAAGGTATTTCAAGTCTCAGATTCGTAACATTTACATGAAACATCCGGCAAATTGAAGAAGGACAAGAAGTGAAGAAGTGATTTCGTCGAGTGTTTTTGAAACGTAACCCTGCTTCCTGCTGCTTGTGTAAAGTTGTTAGTAAGGAATGCAAGAAATAGACTTAGGTTTAGTTTCTTACAGCTGCTGATTATTTAGTTTGTACAACCTGGTAGGGGAGTAAAAGGCCTCCCATTCTAAGTATGTTGGGGAAAATTTCCTTCAATGTTTTTTGTATTCTAGCTTTGAAATTTGTCTTTTTGTAATTAACCCTTGACTTCTGAAGTGCTTGTTTTAAGTTATGCAGAGCTTCGATAACTCCATTATCTTACACCATGCATTTGTGTGAGTTTGCTCATGCTACCTACTCATAGTACAAATATTGTATACCAGCCATGACCCTGAAGGAGAAGGTTTACCTGCAATTTTGGAAACCTGTAATTGTCTAATTGAAGAGACTATATGTATCTTAGCTAGAGTTTGGAGTACACGTTACATTTTGGTCACAAAAAAAATCCCATGGATCTTGACCGTTCAGTTCTACTATACTATTCATTGATGACGATGGTGATCCTCGAACGAAATAATATTTTGTTATGCTATTGATCAATTTAATGGGATAAAATAAATCATTTGAAAAAAACATTTGATCGTGACCCCTAATTTTACTGATAATTAGAACTAATATGTTATATGCATCTTTGAACTCAATAGGAAAACTACAACTAAGAATTACAAAAGAATTGTTATAATACCGATTTTTCATTTTTGTAGAACATGTATATGTGTGGAAGTGGAACTGATGTTCATCATATAAAAAAGAGTCAGGCCGGGTTGGATTGTTATCTTCAATATATTTTTTTTGGGCCAAAAGCCCAAACGATTTCTTCCTTCCCGCCAATGACATGTTTAATTCATTGTCTGATTTTAGACCAAGAAATTGTTCTTACTTCTTGCCGCCTTCAATCACACTGTTTGTTGCCGCCGGCTAGCCAGATTTTGGCCATTTAGACCAGAATCTAAGTGACCAATCACTAGGTATGGCTACATTTTAGTGGCAATGTCATCTTGGATATACATGGTGTAGCAATTGTCTAAAATAGTAGTAAATGTTTATTGTTGATACGTATATTTCTAAAAACACGTCTCAAAACACATTTGAAGTAAAATGTACAAAGCAAATGACACAACACTCCAAATGGATTCTAAGCTTTTTCTTGATGAACATGTAAAACGAGGATCCATCAATGACATCTATTATAACATAGTGTCTATAAACAATTTACTTATTCAACAAAATTGTAAGATTGTATCTCTTTAGCTAGTATTCTAAAATTGTTCTCAAGACATCAAGTTAAACCAAAACTCTACCTTATCATAGTACAATTTTGTGAACAGTGGGGCAACTGGCAAAATTAACTTCACGGTTGCCCAGAACAGCTTTTCGTTAATATGACAAAAAATATTTAATAAACGGCGTTAAGTTTGTTCTAACTATGAACATGATAGACACAAGCAGATATCCATCAACTTTAAACCTAGTGAGGAGCTTAAAAAAAATAAACTAAAATCCGGTGAGGCAGTGAGCAGACATCTGAGAAGAAAACTTGGATTATGAACAAAACTTCAATTCTTGAGTAGAATTCAAGGGTGGCTCAACGCTAAATGAGGCCGAAAGTAAGTATAAAACTGATTTTTTTAAAAGAAAAATTAAAACACTATCTAAAGTTAATGTTCCTCATGTGAAATTAATGAGAAATTTAGTTAGTTTTTATTGTAATAAATGCGAATATCATTTTGTTAAAATTTGTTGGATATAAAATCTTTAGTTAATGTTCCTTAACAAATCAATTCATTTTGATTTTTTTTCAACTAAAGCCCCCCTATCTCTGTACTTTAATGTTTAACTTTTATAATATATAATAAATAAGTATTTCCAAAAAAAAAAAAAACTAGTTTTAAGTTATACAGAATTCAAACAGTTTCTCCATTCAAACAGTTTCTCCATTATCTTATATTCCTCCCTTCGGACCGAACTTATTATCCAATTTGAATCGAACTAATTTCTTTAAAATTAGTACAAATCGAACTAAAAGTGAAAATATTTTAGGATCATGCACTTTCATGTTTAGTTTGCTCATGCTACGACATACATTTTCTACTTGTTATTTCTTAGTTCGTGAACCAAAAGAGAAGTTCAAAAAGATGACATCTCCCGTTTCTTTACTTTTTTTGGCGGGAGAGATATTCAATGGAGAGAGGTTCGGTCGATGTTTATGGGAAAGAAAGGCCAGTTGTTTCTTTTGATTTGAAAAAGAACCAACACCACCAAAGAAAAAAAAAAAACACACACACACACACACACACGCACACACACGCACACACACACAAGATCAGATTTTTCCTTCTTTACAGACTGCCGTACTTTTTCATGTCACGATACAAGTGAATGAAATGAGCACCAAGCAGATCCTGGTCCTCCCAACATTAATGGTGAAATATGCAATCATGTACAAAAAGAACACTAAATATACGCCTTGGCGAAGAGATTCAGACTCTGGAAAACAAGGCCTCGCTCTAGATATTGGGATAAGGTCAGTGTGCATTCCTGCGAAAACAAAGTTTAAAGTAACATTTTGCTCAATTTGGTATAAATCAAAAAAGGACATATTGAGTATTGCAGAAACAAGTATAAAGAGCTGTCTATACAATTTGATGTCAGCAGAAAAGCAGTCACAAAATGACCAAAAGAACAGGGCAAACTGCCTAACTACACATTGTTTTTTTTTTTTTTTCAGATTTTGGAGGGTTTTTTATATTTTATAAAACCAAAAGCATAATGCTGATGCGGATGGTAGAATTTAAATGGAACTTACAGCTACAATTAGCTGGGTGGTGCTGATGACTTGATTGCTGCCCAGGTTCAACAAGATTCAACTCCATATCCTGACTTGAAGACCAACCCGGTTCATATGTTTCGAGAAATCCAATTTTAGCCTTGTTCGGGAGATCGTGGGGATGAACGAATGGAACTCCTTGGGGCCACCCAAGTTCCATTCTCAAACTCGCGCAAGGACTATCAAGCGAGTGGATGTGGTTCTCGCATTCCTTTAGGAGGCAAAACCGAAGCTTAATGCCTTTTTTATCAGCTATATCTTGAACTCTTTCTTTGAGCACTCTCTGCGCCTCTAATCGAAGCCTCTTTGAAGGTGGAAGAGGCTTTGATCTCGAACTATTCTTTTTCTTTTTGACCATAGGTTTTAAAGATCCTGTACCAGTATTTCATTCATCCAAGGATACCTGTTGTTAAAAGTTGCTTTTTAACAGATGACGGGAAAGCCAAATGAAACAATCTACTATCTAATGCAAAAAATAAAAATGTTCAAATGTATGCTGCTTATGACAAAAGTTATCACAGTAACAGATCCTATATCTACAAGTTGATAGACAAACATAATATAAAAAGTGACAGAGAGGGTAAATCATATTATGAATGGTTGAAATAAAATGCAGTAGCAGGCTAAACTTGTATAAGAAGCGTGAAGCTACAGTCTGCAGTAACATATTTCAAATAATAAACCACCAAGAATTACTTACCATCTTGAGATGTTGGGTAATTAAATGTTGGGAAGTTGTTTCTACTCAAAAGTTGATCAGTGGATCTCTGCATGAAATCATCAACCGGCACGGGAAGCTGGAACTGGGCCTCTACACCGTGACCAGCTGCTCTCATCTCCGAGCAGTTAAGGTTAGTCGTGGATTTAGGCATCAACTTAAAGGCTACTGAACAGCGTCCATACATGTTACTGTCCTGAACAATACCCGTATTATCTGGACGATGCATTGCAGGAGAAACATAACCAGCAGTCGCCTGGTACAGCGCTAATCCTGGATAAAGAACCGCTTCTTGGGGACCAAGATCACCATCCACAAGAACCCATTGGCCCTGAAAATCCCTGATGCGTAAACCAGCCCTATCAGACTTGACTATGGTTACGAGACTCCTATCGACCTCATGATGATGTTCTTGATTATCTGAAAACATCACTAGCTGACCACTGTCATCTTGGGTTGTTGTCAAACTATTATGATGTTCATGAGCTCCCTGAAAAGATGGCCTCGCATGACAACAAACAGAGAGCACAGAGGACGAAATTTCACGATTCCTAAGGGGCACATTATCAAGAATCTCAGTAAACGGATTACTACGCAAGTTCAAATAGAAGCTAACAGCATCAAGAACGTCCCTTGCAGCCTTCCCAAGTAATGAAAACACATCCACCAGACCAGAAGGAGGTAACTCAATTATCCCATCATTATTTGGCTCAATGGGAGTAAGCCCTGGTCTAAAGTCGTAGACTTCTTGCCAAAGCTGAGTATCAGCACGGTAACCAGAACTCTTACACCAATCACGGGTGTCATCTTGGTTATGAATAATATCAGCAGAACAAGGGTAAGCTGGTTTTTGCTGGAAGTAAAGCCGAGCAGAATCGAGGCAAGACCTTAAAAGAGCAGCATCACTCCCTGGAAACTGGATGATGGCAGCTGAATACTGAACCAAAGACTGAGACAAAGTTGAAACTGACAGCTTGTATGCATCAGAAGGGATGCCCTCACAGGGCATGAGATCAGCTAGGTTGACCCGACCCAATGCTGGAACCCCATTACTTGCCATAGAATTTCCAACCAAACCCTACAACCAAAAACCACTCGTCTACCTCTCAAAATCCAATAAATTTTCAAGCGAATTATTTTTAAACCCCAAACACCAGATTCCATCAACCACAACCTGCAGCAAAATACCAAACTCAGGAAACATAAAACGAACTGTTACGGAAATTAGTTACATCTAGCTTGTTTTCCCCTAAGATCCCCTAAGATTAGGAGGAAAAGAAAAGTCACTTTTGCAATAAACTTAATACCCAGTAACTTCACACCGCTGGGGGACAAAAGGAAAAGAAGTCCCAAAACAAAAACCACTAGACGTGCAAAAGCTTTAAGCAATATGTTGCAGAAAAAACAAACCCAGGTAACGCAATAAATAACTAATAGCAGTGGCAATTTGAAATCTTCTGTAATTTGATTCCTTCGAGTTGGGAAAGAAATGAAAAACGATCAGTAAATATAGTTACTTGAACGATCTTCTTACACAACTTCAGACAAACAAAACTCAGAGGAATGATTCAGCTTGTAATTAAGTCCATGACAGTTTCATTGACGGTAAAGTAGCAATAGTAGATGCAAAGAAAAAAAAAAGGGGGGGGATTAATGAAATGAAGTTTTCACTTACCTTCAAAAGATTCAACCTATGAAACCAAAGTCCGAAGCCCGGACATCATAGCCGACCAGAAAAGGGTTAAATTCAAGCGCCAGAAGCGTAAGTGAATTGGTCGATTGCCAATTTGCCATTGCTTTCTTTCTTTAGGATTTTCTCATTTTGTCAGATATAGCCAATTTTGCCCCCCCATAATTTCTTCATGGCTGTATGGGCTTTGGCTCATTGGGCTGGATGGATTTGTGTATTCAATTCAGAGTTTTGTATCCAACATAATATCGAATTAATGTTGTTCCCTTTATTTTATTTTATTTTATTTTTATATATATTGGAGAGGCAAAAGGTGCCTAAGATCCATAACAAGCCACAGTGCCACACATATTTCCCTTATAGTTGCCTTGAGTCGTGCCTAGTACACTAGTCAACAACTTTACATCAAAATAGCAACAAGCCACACCAATTTTGCCTATGTGGCTATATCTACACAATGAACACAACACTGTCCATCCTTCATTTCTTTCTTTGCTCGCCCAAATAATCCACTTGTCGCTAATGTTGTTCCCTTTATTAGGCGACATGGAAATAAGCCAGTCGATTCTCTGGCAAAATTAGGATTAGGACGAAAACCGGAGTTATATATTTTGTCCACCCCACCACTTTTGACACACAAGAAACTGGTCTTAGATTGGCCAAATCCAACTCTGTTTTGGGAGTTGCTTTTGTACACTAAACTTCGGCTTTCCCGAGATATATATCCTACTATATTAGAAACAAAAATCTCCCTTTCAAACACCTCATATGATTGCCCGTGGCATGTAGAAATACTAAATTGCCCTTTGTCTAACCATAACTAAATTATTAAATTTCCCTTTGCACTTTACGTGACACGTTTTTTTTATTTTTTATTTTTTCTTTATGTTTCATTCAACTAGAGTGGTTTTTTAAATTGAATTGATCAATTAGGTTTTTGTTACAAAGTGCCAACTTTGTTTTAAGTGTATACCCTTCGGATGAAGCTTATTACAAAACTATTAAAAATTACCAAAAGTAAGTATTGATTTGGCACGACCAATGGAAAACATCAATAAATCATCTTATTAATATTTAAATTTATTAGGATGCTTTTATATTTTATCTAACATTTACTTCAACACATTTATTCGATTAAGGCTATTTATATTTAATAAGTAACACTTATAAAACATTTCTAAAACATACATGGCGAAATACAATTTCTTTTTTTTTTGTGTGAAATACAAATATTTCTATGATCACACTTATAAAACATTTCTAAATCCTTCAAACATTTCTAAAATATATCGCTACAAATACAAAATTTTATTTTTTTTCAAATATAAATATTTCTAAGATCTACAGATAGACTGGGCCAGGGTCGCGCATTGCGCGACCAGACATCACTAGTATATATATATATATATATATATTAAAAGAAAAAAAAAAATTTCCCCTCTTTAGGATTAAACTCAACAAGCGCACCCCTCCGCTTTCAAACTTTTTTAGATCTATATAATAATTATTAAAAAAATTATATAATTTGTTTATTTTTGCTCTCGCTCTAAAAATTTTACAATAATAATGACAAATTTTTTAGTTAATTTGCATGCAAATACTTGAAACAATGTTTTTTTAGACATAATATATGTAAACTTTAAATAAAAATATATGAAATAGCAAAATTTTACCAAAAGAAAAGTATTAATTTTGAATTTTCTGAAAGAAATGTATCCATTTACTGATAAGAGATTTTGTGACCCAAATGAATAATCAAATAAATCCATTTGATCAAATAAGGCCCAAAATGCTAAAGAGTTATAAACTAAAAATGTGAAATTAGTCAGATATTTTATGCCATGTGAACAATATAAAAAGATACATTTTGATATAAAATTTCAAATCATTATATATATATATGTATGTATGTATGTATGTATGTATGTTGCTTGGAGTGAGAACAAAAATGTAATTTCGCATCTCCTAATTTAAAATCCTAACTCTGCCACTGCATGCATCACCTCATGTTCGGTAAATTTCATGAGATCCAAATTTGCACTAAGAGAGACTAGATTGCCTTTCTTGTGGTTGTGTTGTTGCTGCTAGGAGCTAGATACGATATTTTCTTTTTTCTTTTATTATTATTAGTTTTTAATCACCACTATTCTGCTATTTGAAAGAAGGATATGGTTTAATTTTGAAAGTGCAGGATTCCGCTCAATTGAAGATTAGAAGCTGTTAAACAAGGTGGAGCGGCTTTGTTTCAACTTTTGAAGTCCTAAGCCAAGAAACAATGTTTAAATCGGGTATACCCGAGAATCCAACCATAAACCCAAACAAACAAATAATTATGAGTGAATATTGAGTTTTATTTTGGGTGAGACTCTTTAAATCTAGAAACCAACAAAATCGAATACATAAACCCACAGACTTGACGGTACCACCCGATGAACAGGCTTATATGCATTTATTCTAATGAAAATGGATTGAGTACATCATGATCAAAATGGATAAAGAAAAAAACATAGAGACCTAAAGATTTATGCGTATGATTCAGAATGATTAAGTAAGCTGAAAAGATGAACTTTTCAAGCATCACTCATCAATCTGGTGTGATTCTTTGTGACAAACGAACCTAACTTGCCCCTGAATTTCAACACTCCTATCCAGAAATTCTACCAATTTTTGGGAAGACAGATTTTTGAAATCTCTCATCAGCTACTACCATGGATATTGTTGTGTAATCACTAGGATCCCTGAATGGAGGAACATGGTGTATAGCCCCAATTTCAACACTGGATCATATCCATATACATATACCAAGCATAAAATCAGAATTTTCAAACAATTTTACCAAGGTTAATTCCACATTCAATGCATCGCAAATCTTCCAAAAAGTAAATGAATGATGAAGCTTGAGGTTTAATGGAGGGCATGGAGAATCATTACTGGTTACCCTTATGTTTGACCATGGTCTTGGCTGGGGCAAATACTTTCTTCCCCTGATCATCGTATTCATCATCAATCGGTTTTATTTTTATAAATCTTGTCAGTTATCATCTCCCTTCGCATGGTTCTTACGGTGGTGGATTTTGGCTTAAATTGTCCAAGACTAAGAAGACAATATTGATGATGAATTTGATGACATAAGCAGAGCGAAATGGAGCTATTGGGAGATGAATGCTCATGATTCTCGTGATTTCTGACTTCAGAGAGTAGAGAGAAATACATAAACATAGAAGCGGACTTGGCTCGAGTGAGTCGAGTTGATATGTTAAAAGGTAGAAACATAAAATGTTTAGATTTAGAAAACAAAATTTTAGCACAATTTTATATTAAAAGACATGACTTCAAATGTGGGCCCATCAATAATTTTCAACAAATTCTTTCGGAGTGCCAAGATTAATTTCACATTATCCTCCCAAAAATAAATGAACGAGTTTGTAAGGGATACATGAGTAATGTGCTAATGACTCCCTAATTTCATAAAAGTTCAATTCAATTCTCTGTAGTCCCTATGAATCATCAAAAATATAGCATTGTTTTTTCTCAATATACGGTCGTATCAAAGACTCATCAAATCTATCAAAATAACCATAACCCCAAGTTGATTATCCCTAATAAATTCCTACTATGAATTTCTCACAACAATACAAAGGATATTGGCGGTTGAAAATTGAGCAAATGAAGGCCAAGATAACCCAATGAGATGAGTAGCTGAGGCAGATTATTTCGATTTTGAGGGTTTATATCTTTGTTGTTAGATGACCCAATTTAGCGGCGTTTTACTATATATTCTTTGATATTGTTTCCATCCTATATTGAGCTACGGATTATAAGACAATGTTCGCAGAGTTATGTTACACTCCATATTTTGTTTTGAGTATACTTTAGGAATAATGTATTTGGAGTATCTTAGTAATGTAATGTTCTGGGTAAACTTCTACGAATAATGTGTTTGGAGTATCTTAACAATGCAATGGTCTTGGTAAACTTCTACGAATAATGTGTTTGGAGTATCTTAACAATGCAATGGTCTTGGTAAACTTCTACGAATTATTCTGGGAAAATCGAGATAAACTTTACTAGGATTGGATCAATTGTCTAATAAATCCCTATTCAGTCTCTGTCTAAACTACACAAAACTATGTCATTTTAATTGAGAATTTATTTTTCATAGTTTAGTTTTTTTTTTATATATATATATATATATATAAATTTTGACCTTTTAACATTATTAGTTCAAACCAATCTAGGTTACTTTATTCCATCCAATATTATGTTCAACTATTTCAGCTGGCGAACAGTGAGATATGAGGGCATGGTTGTCGTGACCGTGATTATATGATCCATTACCGTTAGAACTCTGAATATGACAGAAACACCACATATATGGTGTTTGATGCCCACAAAATATATTTGTTTAACGTATTAAGTAATTTTATCCTTTATTATACTAAAGAAATCGTATGAGTCGAAGCATTAATCTAACATTTTTTTCCTGTTGATTCTTAATGAGTAAAATAAATTCTTAAAGGGTCTATCTATCCTAAGTTATATAAAAATGATACAAATTGGGTGTTAATTTGAGTTTTTGGATCAATTTTGAGAAATGTATTTCATTTATATATATTGATACAAGATGAAAATAGATTACTTGGCATGAAATTGAAAGCTCACTTAAGTTGAAAGTAAAAAAAAAAAAAAAAAGATTAAACCGTGATTACAGTGCATCTTAACTGCAAAAGATAATTTTATTTTAACTTTCTGCAACAATGAAAGCTCAAATAGAGTCTAACTTATCCTATATTACTCCTATCCTAAATTTTATACGGAATTTGTTAAATATTGTTCTATTTAAACTCCATGGCAGTAAACATTTCAAAACAATCAGTTATGTCTCGCTATTTCATTTTCCTTTAAAGCTTTTATTCCTTTCTTAGAGTTTTTTTTTTTATTCAATTGGTTGTTTTTATACAGATTTTTTATATTCAATACGGGTTTATGTTCAATGCACACACTCTCAATGGATATGGAGTACCTGTGCATAGTATTACAAAATATTACTAGTGATTATAGTGATATTCATTATGAAAAAAATGAAGTGTCCAGAGGATCAAGGGGTCCATTTCTTCATCTGAGATTTCGTACTCATTGAAAGAAAGAGTTTCGAAAGGACTAATGGATTATGGAAATTGAAGAACAAAATTTAAGGTGATTTTGCCCTGAAGTTCCACCCATCGTAACCATTGAAAACTCAGTTTGAAAAGATGTAATCTTTCGAC